TTGCCAAAGAAAGGAAATCTTCAACACTGCCAAAATTACCGAACAATTAGTCTTATCAGCCATGCCAGTAAAGTGATGCTAAGGATAATCTTGAATAGACTGAAACCTCAGGCGGAAGAGATCATTGCGGAAGAACAAGCAGGCTTCCGCAGGGGGAGGAGCACCACGGAACAGATTTTCAACCTAAGGGTCCTGGAAGAGAAATACTGCCAGCACCAACAAAGTCTATATCACATATTTATTGATTATAAGAAAGCATTCGACCGGGTCTGGCATGACGCATTGTGGGCGACCATGAAAAAGTACAACATGGGAGGGAAACTGACCAATTGCATCAAACAACTGTACAATAAGTCCAGTAGTGCAGTTCTCGTACAGGGCACAATAGGAGAGTGGTTCAGGACAACTGTTGGTGTACGGCAAGGATGCCTACTCTCGCCTACACTCTTTAACATCTACCTAGAACAAATCATGACAGACGCGCTGGAGAACCACCATGGCACAGTTAGTATAGGTGGTAGGGTCGTAACCAACCTGCGCTTTGCAGACGATATAGATGGGCTGGCAGGAGGGGAACAGGAACTGGCCAACTTAGTGGAATCACTGGACACTACCTCTAGGAGGTATGGAATGGAGATCAGTGCAGAGAAAATCAAACTGATGTCAAACAATGACAAGCCAATCACGACCAAGGTAGCAGTGAACCAGGAAGAACTCCAAACAGTGGACCAGTTTAAGTACCTCGGATCCATTATTAGTAAGGAGGGATCAAAGACAGAAGTTATATCAAGAGCGGCTCAGACAGCAGCAGCTATGGCAAGGCTGCGACCCATCTGGAGAGACAGGAACATCAGTCTAAAGTCCAAGGTTAGACTGCTACGGGCTCTGGTAATTTCCATATTCCTCTACGCATGTGAGGCTTGGACTCTGACAGCCGAACTGCAAAGGAGGATACTGGCAGTGGAGATGAGGTGTTACAGAATACTCCTAAATGTAACGTACAAGGACCACGTTACCAACACAGAAGTCAGGAACATCATTAAACAAGCTACCGGAAGAAAACACCTTGAAGATCTCCTTAGCATTATTAAGAGAAGAAAGTTAAAATGGTACGGTCATGTGACGAGAAGTAAAGGCCTATCCAAAGTCATCCTACAAGGAACAGTACCAGGGAAGAGAAAGAGAGGGAGACAGAGGAAGAAATGGGACGACAACGTCAAGGAGTGGACCGGCTTGCCCCTTGCCAGCGCCCAAGCGCTGGCTCATGACAGGGAGGGATGGAGGAAGGCAGTGTGCTCAGCCACTAGGTGCCCCCACGACCACCCCCGGTCAAGGGACCGGTAAGAAGACGGTAAGAAGTTTGTCTAAGCACATTAGAATTGAAAAAAAATCACACGAATGAGTGAGTCCTTACTACTGGAACTCAGTGCAACAATGTTTTCACTGAATCGATGATGGTATAGTATATTATACGTGAAGCCCACCTTAAGAATAGCCAGGCATGTCTGTCCCATCACATTCTCCAGGAGAAACAGGACAGCTTCTGTCGGCCACGCCCCATCAGGGGAGATCTGGAAACAGAGTGATAGCCAATAAGAAATGAAAACAAAGGAATGGAAGCGTGGGGTAACATGTTCGGTTCAGACCCAAGAGGCCCTGGGTTCGAATCCAACCCAATGCCACCACTATAAGAAGCTATATAACCTATTGCATGTTACAGTGTCTTAATTTTCATTTAATACATTATACAAGGGGAAATCTTCCTTACCGGCCAGACACCGAACAGTTCCATCTCCAGACACTGTTGTGGGATAGCCATCAGATTTGTCAGTCTTCTCAAACTGTGAGCTGGTAGAACCTCTGTGTTACCAAAGTCCACATACTGTACCTCAACACCCTAGAACAAAAAAACAAAATATGTATTTTCACAAAGTTTCTATTGCAAAATCTGCTCGATGATCCTTGATATTTAATCAAATTACTTTTACATAGTTTACAAAATGTTGAAAAAAAAATGTTATTCTCTATTTCATTTATTTTTATTGCTGCATTTTTGAGGTTCATCATAAAGACAACCTGATATCAGAAGCTAGCATAAGAAATGTTACATCTTCAAATGGACCATTGACATTCTCTAGCCATTGTTTATATACTAGTACTCCAAAAAGCACTCCAAGATTATACTTTTAATTTCTACATTTTACACTATAGTAATATCCTAATAACCGTGTAACATTGCAACAGTAGTTACAGTAACTATCATTACAAGTATTTTAAGTTTTCATATTCCCTAAACAAACTTTATATCAGACTGCTCCCCCTACCTGTTCGGTGACTTTCTGCACCCTGGCCCTGTACCAGTGCTGGTCTTGTGTGAACTGTGCCTGACAGGGCTCTCCCACCTTCCACTTGTAACAGCTGTTCCCATTGGTCAGTTCTGGACCCATCTCGTTCTGTTTCTGAAGCGTTAACATCATGTCCTCCAGAGTGCTGTTGTCTGATGGGAACAAAAAAAATGGAAATGATGACACCTAATATTCCGCAACAGGTATGCACATTACTGGGATATAAATTGGCTTGAGGCATCCAATTAAAAAAGGAAGTTATTGTGTAGTTATCACATGATAATCTTACTGTCTCTTAGTGTCACTGACGAAAGGTAGTGGATGCTACCTGAAATGTCTGTTTCCAAAATCATATCCAGTTGCTTGAGTGACTGTTTTTGGCGTAATTATCACATGACTTTCCAACAGTTTTCGTCAAATGCATAGGACAGGTGGCATCAGTTTTCATTTCAATAATTCTTCAATAAAATAAAGAAACTACAATGTAGAACTAAGCTAACTAAGCTGAACTCTGACTGTATAATAGTATTTTTCTTTGAATGTATGTTTCAGGGGCTAGGAAAAACACTTTTTTGATATTGAAGATGCTGCAATGAACTTTAAACAACAGTTTGAACACATTTTGAATCAAAAGAAAATCCTGCATGTGCATCACACAACTCTATCATGTTTTCCCACCTTCCTTAATCTCCTGCCCATAGATGACAGCTTTAGAGTTGATGAAAGTGATGGCTATAGGGAACTGTTCCTTGGCTGGGAGGAGTGGTTTCCTGAACCTCCACTTCTCACAGACCTCCTCCTCCTCTTCCCCGGGTATCTTGTCTGCTTCTCCTGATGCCACTGGCTCCTCGGAGATGTTCTTGACATTGTAGTTGTGGTCTACAGTAGCTGTGTTTTCTGCAGGCTGGGGTGCGGCCCCTGATTCAGACTTCAGTGATCTAGTTAGGTGGAGGTAGCACATAGATTTTGATACTTTTCAAGCAAGAAAAAAGGCCATATACTAGAAGTAGATGCCTGTTTACTAGGTAGCAGGGCTTTTGTCAGATTGAGCGGTACTAGGAGTCTATATTGCTCCAAGAAATTTTGAGGAGATACAGCAATTTTGCGAGGCAAATTTCAACAGGATTCATGTCCAGATTGGAGGCTGTGGTTACCAACACCATTACATTTCAATGTGTTTTTGTTGCAATATAAAAGGAATGCAACTGCCCCATTGAAATGAGCCTAGAAAAGAATAGAAGACACCGTTTTTGAGACCTACATATTTGTCCTTTTCTTCTTGAGTGCGACTCCCTCGTGGATGAGACTCTGACTGACACTGATGAGACTGGCCTTGGCAGCAGTCAGGGCTGTCTCCTGCACTCTGTGTTCATACAGCAGGTCCACAGGCAGGGACCCTTCTTCTACTGGACCCTGGGGAAGTTCAGACTTTCATTGATCTAGGGTTGTAGGTCCCTTATAACTAAAAGCTTAAAAGTATCAGAATCTTAAAAGCTTAGTTTTTAAATAGCCTTGAGCTTTTCTTTCCAATGTATTTGCGTGTTTTATTTGTGTTTCGGTACTAAATTTACACATGCTAGGGATGTTTGGACACTGACAAGTGACAGGAAGTTAGGTCAAAGGTCCCAGAAAAGGTTATCCCATTTCCTGGCTTCAATTTCCTGCGACATGCATGTCTCTTACCTTATGGGGGAAAAGGGAAATACGAAGACAGAAAACATACACTTCAATATCTACCCTCCTTTTCCTAATATTTAAGATTATATACAAGAATATTAATACCTTATGAAGTCCAGTATTTAAAACATACATTGGGAAATTGAAAAAACAAAACTGCCGTCTAACCTTGGTGACCAGGGTGCAGGGGATGCCGGTAACCAGGCTGGTGAGGAACTCACACGCTGTAGCTGTCCAGGTGTCCTTGCCACCTGCAGGCACAAGGTTGGCCAGGTGACAGCAGATAGCGAAGGCTGGCAGGTACTGGAACTTCTCCGGTAGGGGACGGAGGTTGTCCACCGACACGACTTCTCGACTACCGTAGTCAAGGTGGAAGATCTAAAGAAAAGCCACATAATCAACAATGATGTTTTTCTAAGGCTTTTGCCATAGTTTTCCTTTCAGTGAATTATCTACCACCATTGCTATACTACTACTACTATTGCTATACCCTATACTAGCTACAACTATCTTACATTTTGGCAAACACAACTGGTCCTGGTTATTAACACTGTTAATACATACCAATGGATGCTGAATACATAAAAGTTAACACAAGCTTCATCCTTGGTGCTGAACAATGTCCACACACAGATTAACAGTCCTGTCCTTGGTGCTGAACACCATCCACACACAGACTAACAGGCCTGTCCTTGGTGCTGAACACCATCCACACACAAATAAACAGTCCTGTCCTTGGTGCTAAACACCATCCACACACAAATAAACAGTGCTGTCCTTGGTGCTAAACACCATCCACACACAAATAAACAGTCCTGTCCTTGGTGCTAAACACCATCCACACACAGATAAACAGTCCTGTCCTTGGTACTAAACACCATCCACACACAAATAAACAGTGCTGTCCTTGGTGCTGAACACCATCCACACAAATAAACCTCAAACCACATACCTCAAAGCTGTTGTTGCCCTTACTGCTGCTGACCCTGCCCCTGTACCACCTGTTGTCCACTGAGTACTTGACACAGCAGATATCCTGTTCCTTCCAGGAGATGAGGCTGGGTTCACTGTCCCTGTAGTGTTCCTCCATCTCTGACATCAGACTAGAGAGACATAGGCAGTGGTCAATATTTCCTTTAGGATACAGTGAGAAACCTCACTACATCATGCTTCTAGCCTTTGGGTAGGAGGCCAAATCAGCCAGACAGCAAGAGACTGGGTGACACAGGCTATTACAGTAAGGTAGCAAATGGACAAGTGTACAGTCGGAATCAGACCAACACAGACTGCATAATTGTGGCAAGACAGTGGACCAAAAAATAAATCTTTTTATTAAAATCCATGCTTATACAAGTCTTCCCTACCATACTGTCTAAAGATGCTGCATTTGAATCTACAGCTAGAATTGACATGCAATTCCACTGTTTTCCATCCAATATCTACTCTCCTTTTCCTAACATCTAAGATTGTATACAAGAATGTTAATACCTTATGAAGTCCAGTATTTTTCTGTAAGAAAACATACATTGAACTTTACGTCAAGTTACCGAGATGTTATGAGTAAAAATAAAAATCGAAGAGTAACCTGAGACGAAGAAAATGTATTTAGTGCTTGGTGTAAACATCTGCCCACCTGTCTAATCCGTCCTCCCCAGCCGATGCCAGCTGTACAAACACCTGTGCAGGTGACTCCACGTGACAGACAGTGACAGGCAGGCAGTTCTCTCCCTCTTGGATAGGGGGCGCTAGGCACGGATCAATGTCCAGGTCATTACCATTGGGGCAGGTCTCAGGTGCCTGACAGAACAGTTTAAGATATTCTGTTATTAGTGTTAGTTGGTCAGTGTTGTTGTCAGCCTAAATTTTTTCCATTATCTCAAATTTGTTTGATGAAACATCATGTTGAGCTCCAACGGTGTTACGATTCTAGGGGTTTCTGAGGGCATGCTTCTCTGGGAAATTGTGAAATCTTTACCCTCTTCGATGGTAATCTATAAGCATGGTTTAATGACGTCTCTTTCCATATCTTTACCTGCCAATTTTGTCCAGATTGGGCAAAATGGAGACTGGCTAGAACACTGGTTGGTCAATCTCTAATTGTACAACACTAAAGGCAGATTTCATTCTAAGTGATGCTGCAGTGTGTTTATTTTGACTTTATCCCTATTACTAATATTAAGCCATTTATAGACACTATTTATCAGCCAAATCCCTCAGTAATATTCATGGAAACATCAGATAGATCTATAGGCTGTGCATTTTTCACCTCTTCAATATTAGTATCTGTATCTTCTAGATGTGAATTTGGATGAGCCAGCCATTCACATTATACCTACAGCTGTTACACTTCTTGTGACACCTCCTACATGTACAAATACTATGAAACATGTTGTAGAACCATCCTGCCTACCTTTGGTATGTCTTCTCTGGGAGGCTGTGGCTCCAGTGGCAGGGTAGGTTCCAGTTCTACAGATGAGGAGTGTGTGAGTGGGACTTCCTGGATGTCTGTTCCAGCCGGCTCCTCTGGTACCTGTATGTCTACACTCTCCTCACCCACTGTCTCCTCACGTACTGCAACTGGTACTGGTACTGGTACTGGTTGTGACCTGGACAAAATTACACAACTGTCAACGGAATGAGCCTTCATTTTGATTGTTCAATGTTAAACTTAGAACGTTAAACTTTCTTCCAACACAAAGAGTACACAAGGATCAAATTTTCAACAACCACTGTTGTCTTGCAAATGTATACTGGCAAGAGTTACAGTTACAAACCTGTGAGCTAATTCATACGAGACTTGACAGATACCGGTATGTGACATCAGCAAAATTTAATGATCAAATGTGCCAGGGAGTTTACCATTGTACTATGATTACTACAAACACAGATGAACTTCCATGATAGCTTTCATTTTTTCTAAGTTGCAATTTTGTTGAAGAAGAAGAAGAAATTCTTAATAGTTTCACAGTTATATTTTGCAAAATGACTGAAAGGTATACCCTACCCCTGTGCAGTGAAGGTTCCATGTCCCTCCTGTGCCAGAAGACTGTTGATACATGTCTGTTTGTCCAGTGAGTCATACAGCAGCACCTTGAGTTTGGAGTCGGCTGTCTTCCCCTGCACATTCACCACCAGGCTCTTAAACAGGGCCATCTGGTTGAACTGGAGACGTGCCTGGGAACATGAAAACAGCTCACCCATCAAGTCTGTAAGTTTACTCACTGTAATATTCAGCCAAATCTTCCAGTCTTCATCAAATATCTGACTCAAGTGCTTTATACATATGATCTTTCCACACATGTGATGTCAGCACTGGGTCAAAGTTTCTTTCTCCTTTCTTTCTTAATTCAGATTGCAATGGCAATACACGTATCAGCCGAATACACTAGGCAGCAATTCGGCTGATGCTGTACTCCACACAAATTATAAAACTTACAAAAATTACACAAAACAATTAGATGGAAGCAAACATTATTATATTGAAGTACATAAATAGCTGTACAATTAAAAGTTCAGTTCGGTACAGTTCTGAGAAAATTGTGTAATAAAGGTTACTCCCTGACCTCGTCCGACCATCCTTTGGAAACGTCTCGAGGCTCCACATCTGCCAGGACACAAGGGACAGCCTGGAGAGAACAGGTAAAGATGTAACAATGTGTAATCATACTGGTCAGTACTCTAGGTCATTTTGTATCCAAAACAAAGTAAACTTGTACTTCAATGAAGGAGTGGCATTTGGCATAAGTTTTATGGTATACAATGTATATCATACGACCATCAGTACCTGTACAGGGAGTTTGAGAAACTTGTCTGGTATCTTCTTCAGCTGTGAACAGGTGACACGGGCAGAGTTCCCGAAGTCCACATATGTGATGTCCACCTGCTTGTTACCTGGAAGATCTGAGCAACACAGAAAATATCACAGTAGAATACAAACTTTTACTTACTTACATGTGTAGCATACATCTTTCACATCTCATATAGTGAAAATTAGACTGAGAGAAATTGTTTTTGACTTACCCACAACTTGTGCCCTGTACCATAGGTCATCCTCCTCATACTTAGCAACCAGCACCATGCCTAGAGAAATCACAATACGTAACTCAAAAAAATTTACAATTTACTTTTAAATCAGACCTGAAATCTTGTTTTAAAAAATCATCATCATAACACTGAAACAACAATACAGCCCAAGAATACAGATGTACACACTATTTCTCCAGGTATCTTCTCTGTACAGTGTGTACATACCTTCATGTGGACAGAGAATGCTCCAATCTTCACCCTGGTCTTGATTGTACAACTCCTGCATTTGAGTCATCATGTCTCTCATGTACTGTGCTTCTGCTACACTGATCTGAGTATGGAACAGTAGAGAGTATTACTTCAACTTTAGGGACAGACAACAAAACAACAGCAAGACAGTTCCAAAGTTGATGTGTGCACTTGTTATGTTCATTTACTCAGTCACTCACTCATTCATTCCCTAACTTTAGGGACAGGCCAGAAACAACAGCAAACTTAAAGTAGGCTTAAACACTGGTTATGTGTACATTTACTCTCACTCACTATGCATGAATGTACAAGTTTAATTCTGACTTACGACTTGTACATAGAAGAGGTCCGGTCCCATGACATGGCTGCCTAACACAGGGATGTCCTGACCCTGCAGCAGTGGTTCAGCTGGCAGGAACTTCCTTCTGGGCTGCAGGACAGAGGCTGGAATAGGTCCAGAACAGTCAAACATACAGCACAGAACAGCTTAACATACATTTTATAGAACACCCCTATTTTCTTTGTCTTGTGCTTTTTCTTTGCAATAATCATTCATCAAGAGGGCTCACGTTACTCCAATTTGCAACATGAAATTGAAGATTTCACATCTTAATGAAAAATTGTTGCTACCTTTGAGCAAATCCCTGTTACTTCCTAATAAGTTGCTTAGGGGTGATTCTATTCAAATAACTATGGACACGCAAACAAACACACTTTGTCGTTGGGGGTTTAGGTAGCCAACATCAACTTGCTGATGATTCTGCTGGTGATTTGAAGTGAATCACCAACTCTGGACAGTAGAATTTAGACAAGGGCACAACATTGTGGCATGTCACGGGATCAAACCCAGGACCTCTTGGTTCTGAGTACAACGCTCTCTCTGACCATTAAACAACGCATTGCCACACAAAAAACAAAACAAGGACTCTGAGAAAAGTCAGACTGTATGAAAGGACATCGTACCAGTAAAGGATGGTACGGAGTGTGGTGACCTGAGGTAGGCCACCTCCAGGAACACCAGGGCATCACGGAGGGACACTGGCATGTCTGTGTCTATGTCTTCATTAGGTGGCTTGTGTAGATCTACCTGCAGTAGACTTCCGGAATGATTCAGGATCTGAAATAACAACACATACATAATATAATAACTGTAAATCGCTTTATATTCGTATATATATATATATATATATATATATATATGTATATGTATATGTATATGTATATGTATATGTATATGTATATATATATAGTATATAGTATATATATATATATATATATATATATATATATATATATATATATATATATATATATATATATATATATATATATATATATATATATACTCAGAACCTTTAATTCTTTAACATACAACCCTAACCAAGTTTAACCTACCTTCATTAGAACTGGCTTGTCTCCAACCATCTTAGCAAAAGCTTGTATAGCTTCCTGGGACCACTTTCCTGTTTCCTGTAGTAAGATACAGGGTTATTGTGGCATAACCATTGTTGGATGTACATGTACAATGTACAGTGTGTACTAAGCCAAGATGTAATGGTTAAGGGTGATGGTTGATGCTCAGAATATTGGTGAAAGTTGGGTTTTTCTCTCAACTTACACATAAAAGCAATATACAATACACATTATCCTTTAGACCCTTCTAGGTACATGTATCCTAAGAGATATATTACGTACATCAATGTTTAGAGTTTGGTGTTCAAGGGTTAGGTGTAACAAGTTGTTTGGTGTATAGCCGCCGCGCTGCGTGCCTGCAAAGCTTGTGTGTTATGCTGAAGAGCGGTTATACCAGCTATACAGATACAGATGATACAAATCTAAGCTAAAATACCTTATCAATTGGGACTATGTCGACCAGAGAACAGCACATGGACATTTCAGGGATAGTCTGGAATCTCTGGGGCATCTTCCGCAGCCTGGAACAAAAGGTATGAAGAGTTAATGCTGCTACCAAGCTAAAATATAGTCTCAGATCTCTTACAGATCTAAAGACTCAAGACTAGTATGTATATGCAAAAAGTAGAATCTACAAGTTGCATTGGATGCCTTTAAAATTATAATTGGGTACTTTACCTTCTGATGGGTACCAGTTCAGAGTTTCCGTAGTCTACATAAGCCACCTCCACCATGGGTTCCTTCTTGTCTGTCCCGCTGTCTGAGGAGTCGTCCGAAGTCCCTCCTGACATGGCCCTGATCCTGCCTCGGTACCACTTGTGGTCAAAACTGTACTGTGCAAGGCACAGGTCACCTGGTGTGGAACAGCATGGAAAAATTTCTGTCATAAACATTAAAATTGACCACAGAAACTTAACAATCATAATCATGTTTTTCAAAGTACTACCTTTCCCAAGGGCACAAGATCTGCAACATAATTGGCAGGATTTGAACCCGGGACCTCTTAGTTCTGAGCCAAACACTTTGCTGTTATGCCACACAATCCCATTCTTTGGCACCTTAAAAGTAATAATACGTTTGGGACTACATATGTAACAAGTAATATATATAATATCTATATTTTTTATGGAAAATAAATAACTAAAACTAAAAAGGTAACATTTGCAAAGCAAATGCATAATGTTTACCTTCCATATATATGGTCTGCTCTGTTAATTCTTACTCAAACACAGATATATATGGTCAGACAGGAGTCTAAATCCTTCTGCTATAAAACTGCAACATGATGTAACCCAACACTAGTTACCATAGTGAGAGACGGTCTGGGTCAGGTCATTGACCAGGTCAGAGGTCAGTGTTTGGAATGGAAGAAGAAACAGTGCAAAAACAATATGTTTCTCTTTGGTAAACATAAAAAGATGACAAACAGACATCAAAACATTGGGTGTGAAAATCTACTGGTTGTTGAGGAGGACCTTCTTCTACAATGCCATAGTAAGAGAAAACATGAAGTCCAGACATCCCTACCTACTGCTATGTTGTCCCTGCTGACATGTTCTGGGTCCTGACTGTTACAGAACCTGTTAATGGCCTTCATCATGGCATCCACACGGTCGTTATCTGACAGTCTCTGCACCAGGAAGTGACAGGGGTGTTTGATGTGGGTCACAAACACCAGCTCCCAACGACCTGACGGATGGACAACACGTGGGGTCATCAGAAAAAACAGAGGGCTGGTAGCAGAGCCTTAATATGACTATATTTACAATCATACTGCAACCGACTATGATATGAAACAAATTGAGGCTACCGACTTTCTACAAGAGTTTATGTTATTGATGATCATTCAGTGAAATCATTATTTTCAATTATCCTGGGAAGAATGAACAAGTTTTAAATGCTGTGATCAACCAAAATCAAGTTTCCAAACTTTCTGTGTTAGGTTTCTGTTATGCTGTAGGGCTGTTATACGGCTATATACAGATACAGATGCTATAGGGCTTATTCACCACAGATTGTCACGTGACTCTCCCCCTGGCGTCCGCCATTTTGGGGCTATCGCTATGCAATGCTATGCAAACTCTTGGCGATAGTTGTGTATTTTGGGCCACAATCTACGTTTTGGACACTCTTCTTGTTAGTAACATTGTCCTTGGGGTTGTTCTGGCTCCGTGTCCACTTTTCATGTTGTCAAGATTGGCTTTTCAGTCTTTCTTTGCTGATCAGAAATCGGTGTGTTTAATCCTGGCGCGGCGTACGGGGCTGTACATGTACATGTAGATTGAAACGTGGGTAGCCATGAACACAGTAAAATGTTGGACTCGGAGCTACCTGTCCCTTTACTCTGTGGTAAATGTCCATGTAGAACAGGGCACTGGCAACTTGTAACACTCACCTTGTCCAGCCACAGTCGCGGCAGTGCGGACTGAGGATGGCGGCCGGCGGCCGATGGCCCCGCATTTGTTTGTTATTATCCAGACACAGTCCGGGGCTGTTCCAAAATAGCGACCTTTTGCGTATCCCGACTACAACGTACTTGTCACCACGCAACTGCATGTCCCACAACACTCTCTACACATCCTGATACAACGCTTCCAGACTCTTAGAGGGTTTGAACCGATGTTGTGTGTAAAAACTTCGGCCCAGTACCAAATACGAAGCTAAGGCCACACCAATTTAATTTGTTGGTTCTCGGATTTTTTCAGAAAAAATATGAAGCGACAGGGCGAAAAAATAGGTCTAGGCATCCTATTATAGGCTTAAATGCTATGGAATGAGCCATGAAGTCAACACAAAAGGCTGGGTTAAAATTTAAACATTGAATTTTGAACTTTTAATCAAACCACTGCAATGATAGATGGGAAAACTGTAACAACTAGGAAGAAAAGAACTTTCCTAAACTGTTGGGGGCAAAACATGAGCATTTTTCAGTTGATTCAGGACCAGAATCAAATTTTTTTTTTTTTTGCAAATCAGAAAAAAACGAAGAGGCGAATCCGAGAACCAACAAATCAAATTGGTGTGGCCTAAGTCGCGTCAATGGACTCCGCTGGCGGTAGACGCCGTCTCGATCAGACTGATCAAAACTCAACAAAAACGGGTCAATCCCAACAGATTTTATTTTGTTCCAGTAACGAGAGGTATGAGTGGTGGTAAACTCTTCGTGTAATAGGACAAAGGACAGTTTACCTAACGTTTGTCGGCCATTTCAACGCTTGGAAACTCGCTGTAGGCGCTGTAGCCCCAAAATGGCGTCGCACGGGACATGAGGGGTCGTGACGTCATGATGACGTGTGGTGAATAAGCTCTATACTAAAAGATAAGGATTCAAGTGAACAATTCTATTATACTTGGTTTCCAGCTGGTCCTGACTCTCTGTTTTCTCTTCTGCCGAGGACTGCTGTCCTTACTGGAGGTGTCCTCCCCTCCATGACTGGAGTCCTGAGACCCAAACCTGTCCACAGAACTGTCAGACTCCGCCCCTAAAACAATATAAATCTTTCTTCAAAATCTTCAGTTCTACGTTAGGCAGCAGGAATGTAACAGTAGGGTTTAAGTGCCACCAATTGGCCTGTCTAATGGGTCCGGACCTTTCAGCTTAGCAGTTGGTGTAAGGGTTTAAGAGCTGGCGGCCTGGGTTTGATTCCCAGGAGTCATGCAGGATTTTTTAAGTTTCTACTTGCCCCAAGTGTTTCAGGGAAAATGTTATGTAACATGTCTAAAAGCAATATTATATAGACTGATCATTGCTGCCTTTACTTTTACTGTGTACTTTAAGTTTCTAGGCATCGAATACTATGGCAGGTCTCTGTCTAGCTCTAGACTTTTCTCTACCCTATGTACTCTGCAACAGAGACTAGAATATAGTGGGTCAGGGGCTTCTCCCCAGGAATTTTTTTCAGAATCTAAAAATCTTGTCATGCATGTTATTTTTGTCCATCAAGGCTAGGGGTAGTTGAAATCTTTCTACGTTCATTGGTACTGGTAGCATAGTTCTGTCTGGAGATGCATGAGCACAAGAATAAAATACTTGTGATCTAGCCATTGGTCTGACTTGAAATTGTGCATTTTTTTATGGTTTGTTAAACTTAAATCAAAGATGGCTGGGTGTGATACTAACCATTGAGTTCAGCCAGGCCTTGATTTTCTGCTGGTTGTACAGGCATCTGTTGTACCCACTCTGGTGGGACCTCACTGATACGCCTCAGGTCATATCTACACATGGACAAACAAAACTATTGGTGTAAGTACATAATACACACAACACTATCTCACTCATTCAAAAAGGAAGAATAGCGTTTTGCTTAAATAACCATGTACTGAACAGAAATCTGGTCCAAAAACATGCTTTAAAATATCTAATAGAAACATGAAAATTAAAGTTCTAAATGATGTTTACCTTGGATTGGAGTTATTTTCCACTGTGCCATAAGAACTGATGACATCCACCAGGCTTTTGTTCAAGGAACAACTGGGAGTGAGCAAAGAGATGTTTTTCATCATGTCAACACACACATTCCAATATACTGTAAAGTCAATGACTTTGCTATTATGAAAACTTTAATACCGGTAACAGATTTTGGTGGTGTTTCAACTTCGAAAGATAGGATAATTAGTAACTTTAGAAAGAAACAGTCTGCTAGTTTGTACTCACTGTATGTTTGGTCCTTTCTGTTCTGAAGCTACAGCACAGCAGGGCAGATCATCAGCTGATGACAACTTGTCCACTATCTGTAGAATACACATCTAAAATCAAACCTTAGTCTGGTTGAGAGAGGATGAAAGAAACTCAGCAGCTAAAGTAGGTTTGTCTTTAATAAAGTGTAAAATTCCTGCATCATGAATTTTGGGTTGAGAACACTGTGGCCCAAAGTAAATACTGATCAAGAAACTTCAATAGCACCTGGACCACACAATGTGTGTATGTCAATATTTGACTACCTGGTCATCAGGCTAAACAAATTCAGCTAGTTGTTTCTTAGGCTTTTTTGCAGAAAGTTATGGTAAAGAATAAGCCACAAACAAACTTTTGTAATATAAAGTCTCAGTAGAGCATAGCTAAAGCTAACAAGCTTGTCATTCAGGCTAGCAAATAAAGGGCTCTTGTTAGTGTTAAGCTGTTTGTTTTTTTGTGGTCAGATTAGGATTGTTTCCTAGCTAGCTGTCACACAAAACAAGCATTTGAATTGGTGTGGCCTTATCAGAATATTCAAATGAGGTCCCTTCCTGTGGTTAGCCTAACAATGCAGACCAGCTGGGTCAGTTCAAGCCAGGCAGGCAGAAGAAGCCTTGGGGAGCACAGGGAAGGCACTGGTCTTGTAGCACTGATGCTCTTACTTCTTCTGTAACAGTTGTGAGCTACAAGATGTTTGTGTTGGCTCTGTTTAGTTATCTGAACCTCCAGAACGGTCTGATCTTGGGATTTGTGTTCCTGCTGACCTACTGGTACCTCAGGACCCGGACACCACCCAACCTTCCACCAGGACCATGGGCACTGCCTGTCCTGGGGAACGTGGCCCAGATTTTCACCAAGGTTTGTTTCGATTCCTTACTGTTTCACATCTCACAAGGTAATCTTCTAATGTAGCAAAGGTTCAATCAAGGAGGTTTGGAGTCACTTAGGACAATATTTACCCTAGCCTTTACATTTCCTGGCAATCTTGTGTAACCGCTAACTGTTTTGTGTCTGCTGCTTGCTAGCTTTGATTGATGAGATTTTGCCCCAGGAGGTTGCATTTCCTTCATGCAAGTGACCCAGTCCCTTACATAAGAAAGAAGCAGACTACAGAAGATTTGTTTATTTTTGCAGGGCTTTGATTTTGAGGTAGGATTAGTAGTGGAAACTTCAAAAGGCTGTTTAAGTGGAACTAGCAGAAAATCTCATAATCGCAGCTTCCTGATTTCATGCTTGAGATGACTACTGCAACAAGCATGCCTGAAAAATTATAAAAATCCTGCAAATATTTCAACATCTACAGTATCAAGACTTTAGTACAATATACGTATGTAATGAGCAAGAGCACTTTAACTATTTGGGAGTTGCGAAGTATTATGCATTGTCAAGTACTTGTCTGTTCCAAACAAATTCCAAGGTCTCTGACCTGTGGCTTAGAAGTGATCAATCAAACCAACCATACCCTGTCAGAGGGATTGCAAGCATCAGGAGCTGTGCTGTCACAGATGTTATACCATGGGAAATGGATTTCCTTCACAAATCATTTGTAATGGGGGTGATTTTCATGTCTGATCCCATGGACTAAAAAGGGCTCAGATTATTTGAACGAGAAATTTTCCTCTAAAACTTGACCTTATTATCTTCTGTAGCCATTAACAGCAGAGAGATGCAATTTCAGTGTGCAACAGAAAGAATTTTCAGCAACTTCAAGAGTGTTGATTAATATGTTGTATTTCTAAACATTTCTACCCGCTATTTTTTGTCTGTAGCTGTGAGAGTGTAAAGGCAGTAAAGTCTACCATCTCTGACTGCCTTGTCCCAAATTGTAACCATTCCTGTTGCTATAGGCCCCATACAAGCTGTGGATGAAACTTGCCAAGGAGTACGGCCCTGTGATCTACCTCTGGCTGGGGAGCCAGCAGATAGTTGTTCTGAACACCTACTCAGCCATCCACGAGGCTCTGGTCAAGAAAGGAGAAGACTTCTCTAACAGGCCTGCTCTGCACACCTTCAAACAGATGGGACTAACAAACAATGGTAAACCTGCCTATCAAGCTGGTGTGCTATGCCAAAGGGCGGTTATACTGGCTATACAGATACAGACAGATACAGATCAGACCAAGATGACAGTACATATCATTATATCATTAGTCTATCTTGTATCAGTAACATTTGATGTTCAGACCATGTAATAGGGTTTTGGACAGACTGACACAGCTGTATTCTTTTTCTCCACACCTTTTCATAATTTTTTCAAGGATGAGGCAATGATCATGTCAGTCTGTATGCTTCACTTGAGATTCCTATTCTGGAGGGAAATTTACACTTAGGTGATTGCTGTGATAAAATTGTGCTAATCAGAGTCAGCGAGGTCACAGTTGCTGGTCTAAATACAATTTGAATGAAATGGACAGAGTCCCCTAGAAATTAAATATCGAAGCTAGAAAATGTGACTGATTATTAAGAAGTAAAAAAAAATACTTGTTACAAGGTAAATGACAGATGGTATATTTTTATGTAAATTTGAACTTCTTTGACCAATGGGATTTTTTTTCAGGAATTGTTCTCCTTCCATATGGACCATTCTTCAAACAGCAGCGCAAGTTCACCATCATGGGCCTTCGAGACTTCGGCTTTGGAAAACGCAGCTTGGAGGGGAAAATTGTGGAGGAGTCACAAGAACTTCGAGAGGAAATCCTCAAGAAGGGACAGAAGCCTTTCAACATCAGACGTATGCTGCAGAACGCAGTCGGGAACGTCATCTGCTCCATAGTGCTGGGCAAACGCTTTGAGTACGACGACGAGAAACTGGAGAAGATCATGAGAGCGTTTGACCAGAACACCGGCGACCAGCGTCTGAGTAGGATGGCCGACTTCTTCCCGTGGGCACGCCACATCCCTGTCATCAAGAGAGCTGTAGCCAAGTACGTAAAAGACGTGGAGAGATGTGTGGGGATATTCAGGGAGGACATTGCCGCTCACAAGGAAACCTTTGATCCAAACGACATCAGAGACTTCATCGATACATTCCTCCTGGAGATGAAGAACAAGGAGGGAGAGGAAGGGAATGATTTCACAGACAGGCAGCTGGAGTACCTCATCAGGGACTTGTTTTTGGCCGGTGAGGAGAGCACCTCAAACACGCTGAACTGGGCCCTCCTGTACATGCTTCGACACCCTGACGTACAAGAGAAAGTACAGCAAGAAATCGACAGCACCATCGGACAGGACGTTACCCCGTCCTTCTCCCATCGCGGCCAGCTTCCGTACACAGAGGCAGTCACCATGGAGGTCATGCGAATCAACCCCATCGCCCCTCTGAGTGCCATCCATGCCACATCCAACGACACCACCCTGTATGGCTACAACATACCCAAGGAAGCCATCGTGTTCACCAACCTGTGGGCAGTTCTACATGATCCTGAGGTCTACCCTGAGCCGGACAGCTTCAAACCTGAGAGATTCCTGGATGACAAGGGGCAATGTAAAAAGGGGGACACCTTCATTCCCTTCTCTCTTGGTAAGTTTTACAGACTATTAGCCATAAGTGCTGGATTTCCTAGGTCTTGGAATTTAAATTTCTGAAACTTTTCTAAGATCCTATAATGTGTCCTGGTTGGAGACTTTATATTCCATCTTGCCATATCTGTCTTTGCATTTATGTGTACATTTTTTACTCTACTTATCATTTTATGTTTGGACTGTGTCTATAGGTAAACGTGCTTGCCCAGGTGATCATCTCGGCAGGATGGAACTCTTCCTGCTCTTCACCTCCCTGATGCAGCACTTCACCTTCAAGCTGCCAGAGGGCGCACCTCTACCATCCACCCAGGGGCAGAGGGGAATCACAAACAATGCAGTGGCTTTTGAACTTTGTGCCATTCCAAGGCAGTAGTGATGTTGCTATGTACCCTTTTGTTTCAACATAAGCTGAAAAGACATTCATTGTCTTGTTCCAACCCCATTTAGGAAATATACCTATATTGAGTGAAAAAGCTTGAATAGACCAAGGAGCTTTGACTATGCTTTAACTAAGCTCCCTGAGGAGAACAGTCATGTCTAGGCTATGGATTGCTCTTTTAACATTTTCTTGTGGAAGAACTAATAAAAGGCTTTGATAATTGTAACAAAATGCGTTAACATTTGACATTTTAGTCTAGACTGAATATAGAATGTAGTATAGAAATGCAAGTAAAATACTTAATGATAATCTTAGTGTCTGTATAAAATCTTAAATGATGACAGTAATATTGTGTTTTTTAAACACAAACTCACCAACTTTTCAATTGACCAGTCCTCTGGTTTGAAGTAAACCTGGTTCAAGTTTTGTATTATAATATAATTTCTGTTCTGGTCTTTAAGCAACTACAAGAACCCTGTTCCAGTCTACATCACAAAATGTATTTGTGGTACATTTGAATGATATAGCAATAAATGTCACATTACAATTTACATCAATGTTGTTTCACTGTCTGAGTTGGGTTGTCATGTGCACTGACAAACTATGTACAAAGATATCATCCTTGCCATACACCAAAAAACAGTCTGAAGAATTTTTTATGGTGCAATGCACAAGAAGATTAAAAGTATACATACTAGTTTGTGTGCAAACGCATACATACATTTACCTTTTAATTGAAAATACAAGCAATCGCTACCGGTACAAAAACTTTATCTCTATCCCTTCAAAAGTTAGGATTTGCAACACTAAATGCATGACTGCATACTCTAAGCTGAGCTGTCCTGCTCTGCAAAAAATCTACCTGACCACAACAATGGAACCTTCCATGTCAAAGGTCATTGACCACATGATCCGTGCCTATACAAAGGTCAGTTTTGCTTCAGGGAGAAGACATTTGAGAGACAAGCTAGGGAACAACAGTCAGGAAGAAAAGCTTAGGTTTTAATAGGTTTACTTCTCAATTCTTTTATAAGGAATGTAACTGATGTGTTGACTTCAGTAGCTGTAAACAAGATGTTTGTATCTGCCCTGTTTACCTATCTGAACGTCCAGACCTGCCTGGTCTTGGTGTTTGTGTTCCTGCTGACCTACTGGTACCTGAGGACCCAGGCACCACCCAACCTTCCACCAGGGCCATGGGTACTGCCTGTTCTGGGCAGTGTCTCCAGCATGTTTTCCCCAGTATGTATTCCATTTTGTAAACTCTTAAAAGTGTTAATTGCTATACCAAATGTTCCATGCAGAGGGAAGTTCATCTAAATTCACCGGGACTTTACTACAATAGAAGGGGAAAGGAAGTTTTCACAGTATTTTAAGTTCCCAGTTGTTGTAATAATTCTGTATACGGTACTAATATATTGAGAAGGCCAAAATAAAAATAAAATCCTGAACGTGTCAAAATGTACCATAACCTTGGTCTTTGCAATTTCCAATTCACCTTCATATTTCCCATAATCCTTGGCTACTGGGACCTTCTAGTTTATCTCCCCCATGTTAAAAAAAACATTGAAATGAAATCCTTAATGTCTGGTAAAATAGTTTTTAAATTTTGCTCCAAATGTTGATGAAGGTTGAAAATTACGTAAGAGTATCCCCCCATGCCACCTGAAACAACAATAGCTCTTGTGGTCTAACAGGTCCAACACAGCTTTCCTCATTTACATATTAGTTCTGATTCTCATTTACATATAAATCTTCTTCTGTTTCCCTCTTCAGTAAGATTATATTGACTTGTTGCAGGTTCCACACCTGTCCTGGACAAAACTAGGAGAGAAGTACGGTCCGGTTATCTATCTGAAACTGGGCAGCAGACATGTTGTTGTTCTGAACAGCTACTCAGCCATCCATGAAGCTCTGGTCAAGAAGGCAGAAGACTTTTCCAACAGGCCTGATTTCTACTCCTTCAAACTAGCTGGCTTTTTGGACAATGGTAAAAACACATAGCTTTTAAAACTGTACTGTTTATGACATTGTGCCAATGTGCCTAGATTATGGTAGAGCAGACTAAGATAGGACATCGATGACGCTTGTATCAAGAGCAGTGTGTCACCTTTGTTAGAATGTTAATAATATTTTTTCAAGGGCACAGTCATGTTTGTGCGAGCAGCATAAAATATGGTCATGATTTTTGGGTGGTACATTATTATGCTTCAGGAGTTTTCATAGGTATGGTGTACTTATTGTATTTCCTTGTACTTTTCATTAATATAGACTAATATATCAAAAACCTTTTATACAGGAATAATTCTGCTCCCCTATGGCCCATTCTGGAAGCACCAGCGCAAGTTCACCATCATGGGCCTTCGAGACTTCGGCTTTGGAAAACGCAGCTTGGAGGGGAAAATTGTGGAGGAGTCACAAGGGCTAAGAGAGGAAATCCTCAAAAAGGGACAGAAGCCTTTCAGCATCACGCGAATGCTGCAAAACGCAGTAGGGAACGTCATCTGCTCCATAGTACTCGGCAAACGCTTTGAGTACAACGATGAGAAATTCGAGAGGATTATGGAGGCTATTGATCAAAATATCGGCGACCAGCGGCTGAACGGACTCGGCGACCTGTTCCCCTGGGCACGGCACATTCCCGCGGTCAAGAGAGCCATAGCCAAACAGCTGGCAAACTTTGAAATCAGCGTCGGCGCCATGAAGGAAGACATTGCCGAGCATAAGGAGACTCTAGATCCAAACGACATCCGAGACTTCATGGATACCTTCCTCCTGGAGATGAAGAACAAGGAGGGAGAGGAAGGGAACGGTTTCACAGACAGACAGCTGGAGTTTCTGATCGCAGACTTGTTTCTGGCTGGGACAGAGACCACATCCAGCACGCTGAACTGGGCCCTCCTGTACATGCTGCGACACCCTGACGTTCAAGAGAAGGTGCAGCAAGAAATCGGCAGCACCATCGGACAGGACGTCACACCGTCTGTCTCCCATCGCAGCCAGCTTCCGTACACAGAAGCAGTCATCGCTGAAGTCATGCGAATCAACCCCATCGCCCCCATCGGGGCTCCTCACAGCACGTCAAACGACACCACCCTGTTTGAATACAATGTCCCCAAGAATTCCCTTGTGATGACCAACCTGTGGGCAGTTCTACATGACCCTGAGGTCTACCCTGAGCCGGACAGCTTCAAACCTGAGAGATTCCTGGACGACAAGGGGCAGTTCAACAAGGGGGACACTTTCATTCCATTCTCTCTTGGTGAGTTCAATAACTGAAAGCTTCCACCATTTAAACTTTCCGTGGCCCATCTTTGCAAGCAAATACATGATGTCTTACTAAATCAATAATACCCAGATCAAAACTATCCTGATCATGAATTCCTTGAGTTTCATTCAAATGTGTGGATACTTTACAGCATGTAAGATAAATAATTCCAGGAGAATAAAAATATCTAGCTCTTCCATAGTGCCATTCCATTATTTCATGGGGTGCAGTTAAAGTGACATGTAGTGTATGTATTGTGTTATATGCAAAAAGATGGTCCTTTTCTGGATATAGTTACATGTATATTCAACCTTCCCCTACAGGACGGCGTGCCTGCCTGGGTGAACAGCTGGCCAGGATGGAGCTGTTTCTGTTCTTCACCTCCCTCATGCAGCACTTCACGTTCAAACTGCCAGAGGGCGCCCCACTGCCGTCTACTAAAGGGAAAATCGGCATTGCAAATACTCCTGAAGACTTCGAGCTTTATGCTATTCCAACCTAAAACTTACCTCTGTGGCATTCAGCAGGGTCTGTGTGTTCTTCAAGGCTCTGTGTGCATCTGTTAAACAAGAGGATTCAGTCACAAAATTTGCAAAGTAAAAAGTTCTTTGTTGGAAATATATAATTTCTATTTCTTTCCAATTAATCAACTTGAGGTCTAAATTTACATTTATAATTAGATATCTATGTTATGTACTTCTCTAGTTTTCCAGAATATACCATACAACATAAAACTTTATTATTTCTTTTATATTTTCTTTCTGAATGCAGCAACTCGACATTGTAGCAAGTTGTAAACTACATGTACAAAATGTAATCTTTCCACTATTAATATAACACAATTTAAGCTAACCTTTTGCTAAAGAATCCAGCATCTTTGCATGCTCAACAAGGGTGTTTCTCTGAAATGAACAGAACAAATTTTAGTGTGTGTGTGTGTGTGAGTGTGTATGTGTGTGTGTAATACTTTTTGTCACTGTACATTAGTCTTCAATTGAGTGATAATGCTGAGATCTTCAATAAAGTTACATTTTGTATCTTGTATGTTGGGCTTCCTATGACTATGAGACTGTCCTACTTACCATGCCCTCCAGTGGCTGGACCTGGGCTTTTCCTGCCTCTTCTATTTGTTCCAGCAAACTTATCTCCCTATAGGATAAAAGCAACATACATGTACATCTGATACAATATACCTTAGAAATCATCGTGGTGAAAGATTTCAAACATTTAGAAACTGTGTATGCACATGAGCATATGAAAACTGCGAACATCGAATTTTCCCTGTGGGGTCGTGTGGCATAGCGGTAGAGTGCTCAACTCGGAGCCAAGAGGTCCCAGGTTCGAGTCCTGACATGCCACCGATCTTGTGCAGTGTCCTTGGGAAATGCATTTTACACAACTTTCCTCACCTCGCTCAGGTGGAAATGAGTATTGTATTGTCCCGTGTTGGTGGCGGCATTAATATAAGTTGAAAAAACTTGAGTGTGCCATCACCACGTCTTGTGATTAGATGTTGGAATATAAATACAAAATTTTCCTGCCTATAAATCTGCTTTGATATGCGTAAAGAACTTTTGTTCAGATTGTAGGCCAGCCTGCAAGGTAATATACAATCTGAACCTATGTTCTTGATGTATGTCAAAGCAGGCCGATTTACATTCAGAAAAAATTTGATACAGTTTTCGTTATCTTCCTTGTATATGCAGTTTTTGTACAGTCACATTTTTCAAATAATTTTGCCCATGTGTAAATCAGGTCTATGACTAAAGACTAATTGACTCCCTGAATGTAGTCTGTTCAATTAGACTGTTGAATTGGTCAAGCAGGGAAGTCCATTAGCAAATTTGGATGACAATAGCTTCAAAACCCATTGTTTGCCATCTGCTAAGAAAACACTTGTCCGCACGCTGGCTTTGCATAAGCCTCAGAACAAAGAGAAAATTTGACTACACTAGTGATGACTACAAAAACCTTAATCTTGTCTGGAAACACAAGATATATTGCAAATGTACAATGTTTTCACATTGATACATATGCAAGAGTGAGAAAGAAGGTTGGGAGTGAGAAGAGAGGGAGAGCAAGAACAGGGAGAGAGAGAGGGGAGAGAAAGAGAGGGAGAGGTGTGTGTTTGCAAACTTGCTTTTAGATTATATATAGACCCCCGAAGGGGTGGGCCGATCCCGGAGGTACTGCAATACCGGGCCAACCCGTGGCTAGGATGGTGCAAGCACCTAGTCCATAGCCTCCTTCCAAAAATCAATTTAATATATGGCTCCGCGATGCGGAGCGTATCAGATATTAAACTGATAAGAACAGATACTACACTTGATCTTAGCCAAAAGGCCGAGAAGCGATAAGGAGCAACGGTACTGGACGCGTTTTGACGAACAGACCACTGTGTCATTGTGTGGTGGGACTGTCTCTGAAAATGTGCTGAGTACAAAGCTACTCATTTCTGTATCAGACAAAAAACAGTCCAGATTAGCAAAAGAAGATATGCCATTGTTGACCCCTAGATTGCTATAAATAAAAATACCATTTTAAAAGCGTAAGATTTACAAATATAAACCAGCGCTACGTTTTGTGATACAAAATCCCAAGGGTCCAATGGGATATGGCTGCTCAGCCAATCAGCAACCAGATAAGCATGTGACTCATTAACATAATATATTCACTGGCTACAGGTCAGGGAAACATGCTGCGTAGTGAAGCCAAGCAACGTGCATGTAAAGTCTGCTGCATATAACCAACAAGAGGTAACTAATAGCACAGTAGCAGTAATATGATATCATAACAATATTTAAAGGGATCTGTGTGTCCCAGAAGCATGAATAAAGCCTCACAAGCTGCATGTAGGCTATACTCACCCACACAATGGGGGAGGGGGGCAGAATCTTACTATTGCTACTAGTCTATAAACAGACATCATTATTCAAAATATCATGCATCAAGACACAGTTTTGGCTTAGAAAATGCAAATCATGAGGCATGTGTGACTAACCTGGCCTGTAGTGCACCATGTAACATTTGGAAGTGTGTCCTGAGTTCATGTGTTAGCTGTGCTACCTCAGTCCTCAACCCTGGGATGGCATCAGTCAGGACCTACATGGACAGGATAGAGAACAGGAGTTATATCTTATGCCTCACATATAACACACATCAGGGTTCAACATACTGGAGCTGTACACCTGATTTTGATTGTGGACCTAGAATAGATACAGTTCTTTTTTTGTACGGTTGGTTACGTCTACAAGGTATAATTGTAAAAAATCAAAATGACAGTTTTGTTGTATTACAAGTTTAAAATTCTGAAGTTAGCTGTGCTATTTCTTGTTGGCTAGAAACACATGTCTTTAAACTTCTACATGATTCAAACCTTATCGGCCTCCTTTATTCTCCTCAGAGCAGCTTTGGCCACCAGTAACGCTGGCTCAATTTCAGCTGCAACCTCTTTGTTCTGAAACACACAACAAAATTACAGTGTTCTAAGTACAGGTCATTTTTTCCTTTAATCTGGCATACACAACAAAATTACAGTGTCAATTTTAATTCTCCTTACATCTGGCATACACACTTAACACTACACACTTATTGTGGGCTAGTGATTACACACTTACACTATGCATAAATAGGGACAATTCTGGTACTGTAAAATATTTAACCAGAAAAATGACAACTTATACATGTACAAACATGTACCTTATCAAGGATGGATACAATGTTGTGGTTTTTGTGGTCACCCATGACTACACAGTGAGAACAGATGGAGGACCTGTCATCCTCACAGTAGAACTCTATGATCCGATTGTTGTGTGCCTGGCAGCCACTGGTCATTCTGAAATAAACAGAAAGAAACAGTTTTAAACAGTTCACTGTAAGCATATGTACTATGGCAACAACTTGACATTTGTGTATGCATGGAAAGTAAAGGGTCCTTCAAAAATACAGTGAATACTGGAACGATCCATGAAGCAAATTTAGAATGTTTTAGAAGGAGTACTCCTTTTGGGTAAAATACCTTACATGCACCCCAGTACGTTGGGTTGTGAAATGTATATCAACAAAGTACAGAATGTAAAAGTAGTAAGAACTTGTAACTTACCCATCTGGTGTCAGTGGAGATGCCTGGTGTCTCATCAGGGTACGTGATACTTTGTGCACCTGTATGGTTATACAAATATTCCAACAGTTGCAACATGCACATAAAAACTTACACCTTCACAAACAAACAGAGTTTGCCAGTTTTTCAAATTTGGTAAATCCTACAACTAAATTAAACTTTTCAGAAAAAAAATAAAAGAACTACTCTGAATTTTTTATCACATTATATTATATTTTACCGTTTAGATATGTACCTTGTCAAAGCAGAGCCCGCATAGATCACACTCACACTTGGCACATCTACAAGAAGCATTCCTGGTGTTGCATTCTGCACACTTTGACACTGGAAAAAAATTTAAAGCAGAAGTTCTTAGGTTGCACAGCAAAAGTGATTAAAGTTTGACTAATATCTAATATGAGCCACAAGCACAAAGTGGACCACTGCCAAACAAACCATTGGCAAATAAAGTAGAAGGACTTTGGTTGCTAGAAGTATGTCAAAGTAGAAACTATAGTTGAGTCTAAGTTTTGAACAAGTTAAATTATGTATGTTTTGGAACAATTGTTAATAAAAAGTATAAAAAGATGTACAATATGACAAGATCGCTACCATGTTTCTTCTGTTTGTCCACAGCAGGAGGAGAAGCGAGGTCGCCGTTGTCAACAGTGTTTCTGCTCTTTTGTGATGGTTTGATGGCCCCTCCACTAGAACAGAGTTTAGAATCATTTGATTATTGTACATGTGTAAATCAAGCAGATTATTTAATTTAGATAAAGTACATTAGAAAGAAGAAATTTGATTCAATGCAGAACTGTTATAGGTAGGTACAGTCATCATCATTGTGTGCCTATCTTTGATTAAAAACTACAGGTTAAAACTTGTTGGAGGCACTCTAACTATGTGCAAGTGTTATAGAAAGCTTACTTTTCCAATGAAAAACGCTTGTTGACCACCAACAGTCCAAGGGTGTAGATATCTGGCCATAGGCTGCGGACACTTTGTTCTGCTTTCGGTAGTGGGGTATTGACCTGCGTATGGTACAGGGTTAGGGCTAGAGCTGTGTACCTAAACAAATTTTAGGTACAGGTACAGGTACAGGTACACAGGTTTAGGTACAGGTCCGGACCTGAACCTGTACCTGAACAATTCGACCAATTTATATGCTCTTCTGAACTCCTTCAATAACAAAAAAAATATAAATAAACTTGATAGTTAAGGTTTATTCTTTGTTTATGGCGAATGCTCAGATAAAATATAGGCAAAACTAAAGATGTTTTTGTTTTCATGAACACACTGTCCTTACACAGGGACCCATTTGAGGTCACAAGTAGGCATAAAATTGGTGTGAAATTGTTAAGGTACAGTACCGGTACTGAGGGATTAGGTATTTTGGACCTGTACCTAATCAATTTTTCCGGTACAGTATCGGTACTGCGTACCGGTACACAGCTCTAGTTAGGGCATTCAAATACCTACAGACACACACACACACACACACACACACACACACACACACACACACACACACACACACACACACACCAAAAACAATACCTCCATACCCAACTCCCTAGGTAATTATAATAAATTGTTAGAATGGTTATTGGGCATGGCACTGGTCTATCAATACTTCTCTTGTCCATCCAAATCACACAGAAAATCAATATAGACATACCTGACATGTTGGACAGGCAATGGTTGTCTTCTGTAGCCTGGCCAGTCTGATCAGGCACCCCTCACAGAAAGTATGGCCACACTTCAGCAGCAGGGGGTAACAGGAGTTCCCCTGGTCTGGGAGGGGAATGACAGCAAAAAAAGTTACTTATTACTTATTAGGTGGAAAAACTAACAATGACCTTGAACCAGTTTTGCTGGAATGAACTCAGTAAACAAAGGCAATAGTGAATTTATTTAATTTAAATTTTATCATAAGCTGCTCAACGTTATTAGCGGCGCTAACTGGCACATATTTAAGCAATTAAGGGGCTGTATGGGGGGGACTAGTGATTACAAATTACGCAAAATTTTCTCCACCGATTACGAATTACGTTACATTCTCAGAGCTGATTACGAACAATCACGTCTTACAGCTAATGTACTGATTATGAATTATGATGATTTTGGGCGGCTGCCTGCGGATTACGTAAACTAAAACTAGGGCATGCCATTACATAATTGCTACCATGAACGACCGTCATGAACTATCTGACTTTCTCGAAGTCGGCCAGATAATTCTTTATTCTGTTTGTCGGGCAAACATGTCCAGACATTAGTCTCAACAACACGCAACACTCCCCACCACATGATATCACCATGGCAACCGTATCATTGTGACAATCACTGTTATCTTTTCTCTGATAACCCACTGTGTTATGCTTGTTTGGGGAAAGTATGTGGGAGTATCCGGACTTTCTCAATCTACCAAACACTCAAACAAAGACACACAGAAAGATACACACATACAAAAATTATATATCTGATAATTTCCTTGGAATAGCAGAGGTTGAAAAAAGGGATCATTTTCATAGATTAAAAACAAAAAAGAATGAAACATAATTTTTCAACCTCCTTGCTGTGGAAAAGTTTGTTTGTACAGAAATTATCATGAAAACGAATATGATTCTTAGATACTGTGATTTGGCAAAAATTACCCATTTTGGTAAGACAAACAACAAGTTTCTTCTAACAGCAGCATGTGGGCTAAAAGCAAGCGTCACTTTCTGAAGCCTGTAAATTTTGTTACCTCGTGTGACGAAATTTCTGCAACAGTTCGGACAAGTGGGACTTCTCTGCATGCTGTCTGCCATCTCATACGTCGTCTGTGACTAAACTGTGAGAAACATCGACGAAAATCGACCTAATTTTCCACTATTTGTAACAAAAACAAAGTTTCCTTCTTCCAGAAAAGTTGCCATATGGGACCTCCATCTTATTTTTCCCTCCAAACGGCAGGCAAATGCAAGGTTGGAGTAAGCCAGGATTAAAAACAAAATATACAAATACTGCCGATTTTCTCGTAACTTTTTGGTGTAAGAATATGACTTAACTGTAATCTATTTATCAAGCTCGTCTTACGTAGAGTTATACCCACTCTGTCGGTAATTATCTTATGTAAACTCAGTGCGTTTGCCTGCGGTTTATGAAAAGTTTCCAAGCGTTCGTAACTCTTCGGACCTTTTCGGCAAGTTCGTGTTGTTCCGGGCCGACCCGAAGGGCAGGGCCGAGTTCTGCCGAGTTGGTCAGACGCAGACGACAGGCGCCAGGACTGACGACAGAAGTGCGAAGTGTCGGGATCTGTCTCGCGACTCATCGCGAATTCCGGGGAAGACAATGGAGAGAAAGTGTTCTGACGGTTGTTGTCCTTTCTTTGAATATGTGGTGATGGCATTGGGTGACAAAAATGTATCAAATTTACGGGAGAAAAGACTGTGGACCGTATTTTCTTGTGGTTATGTCGTTGCTGGTCTTGCGACCTCACGGGCACGGATTTGTTGTTCTTCGACATCTGGTTTTCATTTTCCAAATTCTTCGCGGGTTCCTGAGACCTCGGCTTTGGGGGGCAAGTCTGAGGCCAGAGTCTGAGACATTGTGGAAGATGATTGGGATTTGTTGCCTACAATTTTTCTGACCTTGAACTATGATTTTCTTTCTGACAGAACTTGAACGCAGGACGTCCAAGTCTCCGCCCACATTGGCATTCAAAACTGGCGCCATGTGCCGTAGCGACAACCAAGCAGGTGAGGGGTGTTTTTTATTCCCTTTAAAAAAATCGATTTTAGTCGTATAACCTTTTGTCAACTTGGACATTTGTTGCCCAAGCGTTAATTCTTTTAGATACGAATAGTCTAACCTGGATATTTTCCGTCTTATTATTAGTTCCCCTCTCACAATATTTGTAATGGAACGGTCCTATTCAGCCCACCTGTTGACCCCGTGACGTCACGCCCAGGTACCTCACCTTTGCCGCCCCTACCGGTGCTTTGTTGTATCAGGTAACAAAGGGTCAATAACAACAGCTGGGCGCGCATAGCAACCAGTTCATTGTGTACTGAGTAGCAAGACGCCGCCAACCTACCAACACCCCATGCATGACTAACCAACATCGCGTGTCGGGGGGAAACTGTGGCCACTTTTCGTGACAATTTTGTTCTTTTCTAGGCCCGACTGGGCTGAATTATCACCGCCGAAATGACGGAGGTTATCCAAGGACTGGTTTCCGACGCAAAAAAGAACAAATTCTCCACGATTCCGACGCTAACAGACGAAGGTAAGGACCAGACGTGTTTCGTTGTAAAATAATTTGTTACGATCTGCTGCCGTGATTTTTTACGCCTTTGTTTTTTGCAACATTTCTGAAACAGTTCCTAATCTGGGTACTCAATGTATGTGTGTTACAGATGTTGTCAGTGTTTGGGACAACGTGTCAAGCTTCGTGGAGAAGCAGATGTCTATGCAAAAGGTAAGACTTCGTAAGATAAAATTGGGACTGATATTTGTTTAGGTCACTTCCTCTGCCCGCCATATTGGACACCAGGGTGTTTTTTCTTGTTACCAAAAATATAATTTTCTCCATTTGCACACACACTTGTTAAATGAGACTTTGGATCGCAAGGATTTTTGTATATTATCTGTGACAAAAGTCACTTTATTTTGCAATTTCCTGATTCAGATTTTTGGTATGGTGGCGTAAAGTTACATGTATGTTGTCACAACTTCCAAATTCAATACATTGAAATTGTACATTAAACGTGTGACAAATTCTACATAAAACTTGTTTTCTCAAAAGACACTTCCTTTAACGAATTGACATTGGACATACATACATATTACTATCATTTGCCAAGAAAGTTTAGATCATTTTATAGTCTCATTATGTCACCAAGTTGTTTGATAGTTTAGTTAAGATTGTTTTGGATTACTCACTTAGCACCACTATAGTTCCAACTGTCAAAGTGGGATTTATAAATCACTTGACAGCAACTTAGTAACTCAGAAAAGAACCTTAAGACTGATTCAGAGAAGGAAATCCAAAGTCGTCACATCTTTTTTCTTCAAATAGTTTCTTAATCCTAGTGTTTATATAATTATAAGATACATGGAAATGAATGAATGAACTTTATTGCTCAACAATTTTACATGCACAAACTGCAATGGCAACGACTATCATACAACAATATTACAATGCTAATCTATCCTATATTTAGAACAACAAAATATTATCAATGATAACACATGAATAGAATAATCATCATGTTGATGTGCCTGCTTCAAATATCCAAAGAAAAAACTTTTTTCATTGTCAAAATTGTACACATGTTAGACAAATCATACTGTACAGGTACTTCAAATCAAAGAACAGCAAAAAATTTTGTGGATAGAACCAGAACTGTGAAAGGTCTCTGGTCATGGTCTACTGCTCGTAAAAGTTGTTCACACAACAAAGTTTCTCCTTTGTCTAAAGTTGCTACAAAAATAGGCCTCCATAACCCACAGTAAGACATGTGTTTGAGGATCTTATTTCAATCCATGTCTTCAAGAGTCCTCCAGACTTACTTAAGTTACAAGCAAACACCAGCGTTCTTGTAGTGTAGATTGCAAGTGTGTTGTAGTATCAATTGCAAGCTCCCAGTTTAGCTGTCAACAAAGAAATTGGCGTGGGAAGTCCATGGGCACAGAAGTCAAAACAACACCTGAAGTTTTGGCATAAACAGAACATTCAATATTGTACCTAGCTTTGACGAAAAAGTTTTTGAAAAGATAACTCTACATTCTACAACCAATAGCTTTAGACATTTAATCAATTCTGATTTAGATTTAAAGTATGTTTGTATTTGTATTTAGTTTGATACACATCATGGATCAATACTGTGGTCTCTAAGTAAGCTTTTTGAAGTCTTTTGCTTTCATCGAAAATCACAATCCAGAACCCTGTTTGTTTGTGTTTTTCCAGACATTTACCCAGTGTTGCTCCAATATCAGTAAGCTCAACTGAACCTGTAGAATTCAAGAGAGCAACTAATACCATACATTTTGTGATAGGAGGAGAAAGCAAATTCTTTAAGTGTTTTAAGTTTGAGGTCCCAAAACTTCTGAAGCCCAAAAAACATGTACCTGCATTGTCCAAGTTCCATTCTAGTTTTTACACATTTTCAGCCAGACAAAAAGCAAACTGCGCTTGAAAATTGAAAAAAAAAATCAAAGAGACTACACATTACTGAAATAGGGCATCTTTTGTCTTCCACTGTCTCAAAAAAGAAGTCAACCCCAAGAACTTAGAATTTAGAGTCAGCATTTTGATTAGACACGATTGTGCAAGAATTTGCAATTTAAAACTTGTATATGTTAAGTGTTGTTATCTGTATTTTTCTCACAGGGTGTCCATATAGCCGGCCTGGGGACATTTACTTACGTCCATAAAAAGTTGGACGTGGGAAACAACAAGTACATCCTGATCCAGCGACCTGTCTTCCTATTGGCCGAGAAGTTCGCACAGACCCACCAACTGGAGGCCACCAAACACTACACTACAGGTGGGTTATGCTGGGTCCTGTAACATTCAGATTTACATCTTACCAACGTTTTAGTTTATTACTCAATTTACTGTGACACTCTACTACTAAAACAGTACCCGATAGCTAGTTTGATTTTGTTCAGGTACAGGTACACCAGATGTTCAGATCCTGATCTACCTAATTAATTTGACAGGTATAGCCAGTATTACTATTAGGTACTGTAATTTACTTTATCTTTGAACAGTAGCAAAATTTCATGGTCTGAGGAAAATTGACATGTTCATGGTGGCAGGAGATGCAGACAGGATGAAAGAAAAATGATATGATAATGGTAAAAATAAGTCCATGGTACAAAAGGGACAATAAAAACAGTGAACATAAAAATACTGTGGAAAAAATCAAGAATTACAGTATACACCTTAGTAACAAAGATGTGTGTGCGTGTAATTTCTTCATTGTTTACACACTTGCCACGCATTCAAGTACCAGAGTTATCAACCGAGGATTGAGGTGTTCAAGAATTCATTCTTTCCTAGAACTATCGCAGAGTGGAACTCACTGTCACCAAGTACAGTAGGGGCATTGTCAATAGATAGCTTTAAACAATGTCTAGAGCTAGAAGTTCAAGGGTTAGGTGTAACAAGTCGATCGGTGTAATATAGCCAGCTGCCGCCGCGCCGCGTGCCTGCGAAGCTGGTGTGTTACGCCGAAAGGCGGTTATACCGGCTATACAGATACAGATACAGATACAGATTGCTTGAGCTCTGACTATAATTAGGTGAAGCACAATACAGGCTGACAGCCATCATTGAAGTTAATTAGAGTGAGCAGTGCCTAGGTTACCCTATCAAAACAATAATGAAGAAGGTATGTAACTTAGTCCTACAAATCAGCATATAGATCTGCTTCACTTCATTCATAATTAGAGTAATATATTACTTCAATGACTATATTGAGTAGATTGAATTGATTTTTTATTATGCATACATAAATCCTTTTGCCTGTCACTGATGCGATCAGTTAAGGATAATTGTGTTCTGGAATGTATTGTTGTTCCGTAATGGTTGGAATCATTGAAAACACAAAGGGTAGTGATTGCCAAGAAAGTGTCTAATATGATAGTTGACAGGTGCACGCAATCATGTAGTTACTGTCGGCCCAGTGTTGTGATTGTTATGGAGATGTACTGTATAGAGATGAGACAGGTATGAGTATGGTTGCTAAGATCAGTTGTTATGGGTGGATACTTTGTTGCTGAATGTTTGTACAAGTCACTCCAAATAAAAGGGTTAAGTACATCATAATATTAGGGATGACAAACTTCAGCCCTTAAAGTAATATATACAAAGACAAGCCAAATAAAACAAGATTTCACTCCCTTGAGGTGAAGTAAAAGGGCTGCATATAACTACAAATGTTTTTCGACATATTAACTAAAACGTACCATAAGCTATAGTTGTTTGTCACAAGTAGATTACCCATGCAGCCCTGTAATTATTTTTTAAGTACACAGATCATCAACAGCCAACTCTCTCTTAAATGATTGTGTAAAGGTTGGTCACAGAACTTACCTGTACATACCTGTACATGTACCTGTAGTGTATAGTTATTTAGGACAAGTCTGGATGGTCCTGAACATCTGGTGTGCCTAAAACAATAACAATATAATACAGAATAAACTGAACAAAGTAGTTATGACACTGTTCTTTACACAAATTTTGCCTCAAAGATGTGTAACACTTAAAACTCAGGAAAACTTGTAAATACACTTCTTTTTAGATTAAAATATGTAGATCCTCAAACAAAAATCATGAAAAACTGACTACATGACATTTTATGATCCAGTACAGGTAGTCATACATGGCTGGCCCTGTACCTAAACCCATGTACCTCTACAGGTACACAGCTCTACCATAGCTTAACCCCTGCCAATCCCTCCTCCCAGGTGAGATCCCAGTTGTCCAGCTAAACTTCGCAGCCTTGTCCCTGGAGACGCCGTTTGACCGTGACACAGTAGAAGCATGCGTACGAGAAGTCCTGGGGGCGCTGTCGCGAGCCGTGGGCTCCAGGAGGAACGTGGAGTTCACCTTCAACGGCATCGGCAAGCTGCAGATCCGAGACTCCAAGGTCAAGATGAAGTTCTACAAGGAGTTCCTCACATGCATGGATGGGTCGGGCAGACTAGTGGATGCACTGAAAAATGTAAGTACTGTAAATGTTTGCTGTGGTGGAGTTAGGTCACCATGAATATTTACGTGTTTCCATTGTATTGCTACTGTTGTACAAAAGTGTTTCAACCACAAACTTAGATTTAAACCACCCCCTTTCCTCCTACTGCGAAATTAAATCCAGAATTTTTGTCAGAGTTTAGACTATTTCCTGGCAAGTGCCAGTAGTATATGCACAGAATCAGCAAGAAATTCACCAATAAAAAAAACAAGAAGAACAACTCTAAATACTTCACGGGGTGTATAATCTTGGATTCTTTGTTGTACAAACTGTATTTCAGAATGTTCTAAATCGTTCTGTTTTCCCCTCAGCGTCCCGGTACAGCAGACTCTGTTATGTCAGACAGAATGACACCTACCAGACCTCTGACATCTAACACATTAGTATTACCAAGGTAGGTCTTTCTGTTTTCTAAGACTTGGCACGACACGACATGGCGTTACACGAAATTTCTTCTGAGACGATCTTACGAAAGTCGTAGTATTGTTCGTGTGTCAATTTCTCATATTACTTGGCAAAACTTGCATCAATCAGTACTCCACCAAAAAATTAATTAGCTTCTACCGTACAAGTCTGTGAAGGAGGCAAACACTTTGACTTGATGTCCAATGTTAACTGTCCTTTCCACAGGATATCCCCCAAGGGAGAAGGACTGAACCTGGAAGGAGATGACACTAAGAAGCCCAGCATGCCCACTATAGCAGAGGGAGCAGATGAAGAGGAAAAGGAACATGTAGAGGAGGAGGAGGGAGAACAGAAAGATGGAGAAGAGATGCAGGAAGAGGAAGTGAAAGGTTTGTATGTGTTTGATATGTATGTCTGTGTTCTTGTTCTTGAGGTCTGAGGAAATACAGCAAACTGCACACTGGTATAGGATTGTTTAAGCTGCCAGAGAGAGTAAGATAGCGGAGGTAAGAAACAGATGGTAAAGACTGCCAGAAGACAAGGAATATGTGACCGGCCAAAGGTTCTGTAGCAGTCTGTCAGGCTAGCATTGACTGTACAAGCTAGCACAGCTAGAACCGCAGAGAGTAACTGACAGAAGCTGTAGACGTTCTTGCAAGACGACAAGAGCCCAAGTTATGATTACCACTGTCTTGTTGTGGAATGCAGCAGGCATGCAATCTTCAAGGGTGAAATGCCTACAGCACATGTGTGAGCAACGCTCTGTGAGCCAGCTCATTGTGTGTAATCCTAAAGCCACACCAATACTAAACAACTTCTTACCTGAATGACGTAACAGCCTCATCATAGTCCTATTACAGCTAACCTGTAAATGATGAGGGGTTATTATCATGCTTCATTGTACAGTTTATCTGTGTTAAATGTGGATGATAAGGGTTGTTATACTGCATTGTATGACGTATCAAATCTAACTGGAGATAATGAGGGGTTATTAACATACCCAATTGTATGTGTATTGGGAGGGGTATGTGTGCATTGACACTAAAGTGGGTGTCCCAAGGTCTTATCGGTGAAAGTCCTGACAAGAAAAATACGGAGGAATTCAGTTATACATACCCATTTTCTAATGTTTAGAATTGTTACTACCTAAACCCAAACTTTAACTTTAAAAGATATGACATACAAAATCTGTTTTCAAATTGATATATACCGGTATATAAGTATAACCTCCTTGATATGATTTCACTGCTGACAGCTGACTCTTCCATTCTAGTCAGATTCATGATCAGATAATCCCACGCTCCAACAATGCCAGACCAGAAGAACATCCGATATATTCTATAGCCGAGACTTCCTTCCTCATTCACTCCATATCCCTTCTCACAGAAACTGAAGTGACAGAAGAATAATAGGTCCTTGGACAGAGGACTGACAGCTGAATAAGAACCATCATGCATATTTTATCAGGCTGTTTGTCGATACCCCTCTGTGACTAAGCAGCTTGGTAGTTATCTATTGGCCGGGGCTTTGTCATAAAACCGCTTCATCTAAATTGCATGCCGTTAGAATACAAAGTGCCACTCAGAGTGTAGGGAAGGACGCTGGCATGTGTCCGATCACGTGACGGAACTCCATAGCAACACACAGACATTCCCTCGGCTATAACCACCGGTGTTTGGGGGAGTTGTGATCAGTTTTCCCCCGACAGTCCACCCGGAGTAAAGACAGATCTAGAGGTGTCATCATGCCCCAAGTCTCAGAGATTTCTATGAACTGTATTCTCCCCCCATTCTACCAGCCCACCGTGCCCAGCTCCAATTCCAAGGGAACCATAGCCAGTAAGTTCTTTTCTCTCGGATGGTATTCAGCACTTGGAAAATTTCTCAACTGAGTCACCTTCACTACAGTAGTGCTTGCTGCATGTTACGATAGACTAAAAGTGCACAAATTAGATGATACTTTAAGTGTATGTAGCTACAATTAACCATCAATTTAAAATAGTAAATCTAGAGGCCCTGAGGACAGTGGTCACACAGTTACCACAGTTACATAATACATGTTGTAAAGTCTAGTCTGGTAACCATACGTACATGTATACTATCACAAGCTCTCTAGTATCTACATAATGCTTGAGTGTTAAAGGTTGATGAGAAATTTTACAGAAAAGTTGTTAGTCATAAAAGCTGGCTGGAAAAATAGGATGACAGAAAAAGGACTTGAGCTGGTAAAACAACCCTAAGCCAGCCCGTGAAGAATGGTTACCAGGCTGTAATGTTACCAATTGTGAGGTTTCCTGTCCTTGTTGCTAACACAGAACCCTTTTTTTCATGCCTGACTTTATCAGTCTCATCTGCACAACAGTGCAGGAGAACATGCAAGACTGGCATTTTAAAGAGTAAGTGTTGTCACCAGTAGATTCAGTCGCACAGTGTTTACTCCAGATTCTGTACACTGGTGTAAATTTTTACGGTTTTTCATATTCGTGTTCCACAGATTTTAAGTTTTGATCCTGAAGTTTAGTTTGTTTTCATGGATGGATTTTTAGCCTGGATTCTGTATCTAGTTAGTCTCTGTCATTCACTGCCTGTTACCAGGAGCTGACAGTTTCAAACGATCCTTGGTTTTAATTGGTTAGAACTCCAGATAGAGTTTTTACATACAATGCCATATGTATGCGTCATCGCTGTATTCTAAATCTGATACAAGGGATACAGTCATATTTAGGATAGATTTCTACACGTTTCCTGCTCTTTTGAAATTTGTGCACAACATTTGAATTTAATTATAAATGGGATTCTCTCTTCTCTAAAACTCTTTTGTATTGTATCACCAAGGTGACCATGGCAGCCACCATTAATACAGGAACCATGTTCAAAATTGCCACCACAAAATGCATTCCTAACACTGTAGCAACCCTCTATGACAGACATAACGCATTCTTTCCCACTATTGTTATGTCAATCACCTGCCATGAATGAAAATGGACGATGTCTCTAGCTTTGTTGTTAGGCAGTGTTAACCTACCACGGTGCTAGAGGACAGTGCGAGCTGATTAATTATTCATGTGTTGCCATGGCAACTCGAGAGAATTGCAGATGACGACTTGCAAAGTGTTTGACAGTCATAAAAAGAGCTGTGGTCTGTAGTGTTAGATGTGAAGATGCTTGTTTACTGTTGCCATAGTGATATTGATGACATCCTTCCTGTATATCACTTGAATTGGTATTTATGATTTGCTCTGAATTGCTTGATATCTTCAACACCGACTTTAGTATATAATTGTATTAATCACTTGATAATGATAAAAATTGTGATTTTTTTTTTCTCTTGCATTATGACGGTATTTGTCATCAGAAATTTGTACTACTCGCATGCAGTGACTACGAAACAGACAAAAAATTTTCAAGGTGATTGTTGTATGAACCTAACGCAGTGGTTTTGTCTTCTGTATTCTAGAATCAAGGCTGTCAGCGCCACCTAGCAGGGGAGGGTCGCGACTGCAGGCTCCCGTTGCCAAGGTGACAGGAGTCAGTCTGTTGGAGGAGTTTCAACCACCTGTTACTCCATCCAAGTCACCCTGCACTGTTAAGGATGGGTAAGGACCTCTCCCTTTTCATTCTACACTTTTAAGCCCTGTACTCCTTGTTTTCCATAGCTGATGAAAATTGGACTGAAAAAAAAAGGAATACAAGTATTTTATTATTTCATTCATGTATTTTTCCACCACGACCAAAAGAAAAGATAAACAACTAACGACTTTGGTCATCTGTGATTTCAGCCTGTCCCCACCAAAAAGTCCTCACCCTCCCAAGACCCCGCCTCCCTCACAAATGCAAATGCGCACCACGGGAGCCCCGCCCGAGGTGCAGCAGGTGCTGGCCCCGCCCAGGACCGCGTGCTCGGAACACACGGGGTCGGGCGGGGACATGTGCTACCTCTGCTACCAGCGAGCCGCCAGGAACGTCCCCGTGTCGTTTGCGGAGGAACGGAGGAGGAAGGAACTGGAACAGGACAGGTTGCTGCAGCAGTACCAGCACATGAGAGACACTGAGGCTATCGCTAAGGAACAGGTATGGAGACAACCCAAACATGATGCACAAAAAGTAGATTTTTACTTGTTCTTGATACTGTACAAAATGGAGATTGAGATCTAAGGCCTCAAATAGACAGCTGAAAAAAAGTACAAATGTATACACTTAACACATTTCTGTGCAAGAATCTTCTTTTGCTGTTCAAAAATGTTTTCCTAAACAATTTTAAAGAGGAACTCATTGCCACCCAATACCAGAGGGGCATCCTCACCAGCTAGCTTTGAACACAATTGCAGTTAGACGTGACAGGTTGATAGAATTGAACTAAATCAATACTGACATTACTCGACACACTACATGTTGTAGCAAACATTTATCCATTCAAGTATTTATTGATCTGATGCTCAATTGTACACCCTCCTGAAAGAGACACTGCCTCAATTCTATTGTATCTGAGTCTCTAAGGAACACAAACATGCCATTGGGAACGTAGTCAACAATACAAGATCCATAAGGTCAACTATAGTGTGTCAGAGTGGAGTATATAGCTTGCATGTTTTGCACTGAAAGGCTATGAATATATAATGACCCACAGTCAAGTGCTGCTAGCAACCATACCAATACAAAAGGCAAACAATATAGGTATGTTACAATTAGATGGTTCGAATGATAGTAAGTTAAGAAAGGCTTGAAGAGATTTGGTGTGTTATACCCTAAAGATTGACCATAATATTAAAATCATATTTATTTGGTGTTGATAACAAGTTGACTTTCCATCTAATGTTTTTATTATGTTCTGTTATACAATGCATTAACTTGCTACGACTTTTTATACTTCATCCAGCCTGGATAGTGTAATAAAACAGATACAGAGAGAAGTAAAATGACCAGACGTTTTATTTTTTCCTTACCTAACAGGAACAAATGATGGCTAACCGACATCACAACCAGAAGGTGGCAGCCTTTAACCTGGGCGTGTCCGAGGCACTCAAAGCCAAGAAAGCCAAAAGGGAGATGAACTTTCATGTGAGTTTCATCTCTGGCAGAAGTCACGTATATGGCCACACCAATCTAATCTGTTGGTTCAAGGATATTATCTCTGTATAATGTCCTTGGTTGGTTATATATATGTGGGATCTTTAAAAAAATGACTATACACAGACATTTTTCCCAGTGTCTGTCTTCATCTTGTCCTTTTGGAAATTTCTATGTTAAAAACGTCCAACAACCAAGGAAATAGATTTGTGTGGCCTAATAGTGTAGATTGACATTGAATGTTATCTTATTTCAGAGAAGATGAGGAAGAAATTTTAACAAAAATAAGGAAACAATGGCATGCTAATAGTTGAATGATTATGTATTTGTTTAGGATATGCTGTGTTATGTTAAAGGTGTTTTATGATTGCCAAATTGGCTGAGCAAAATAATAAAAAAAAAACCCCTCTGTATATGGAGGTAAATATAATCTCTTCACTGTATCTCTTATGTCGTGTTGTCCAATGTTGTAGTTAATTGTACGTTGGTGTTGACAAGTTGTTTCCATTGTTATTCTAGCGTGGGCTGGCCAGTGGACCTCATGGCAAGGTCTGTGGAAATATCCTGCAGGAACAGGCCATTTTTGTCCAGGGAATTCTAAATGGGCCATTTGGAAACTTTTCTTGAAACCAAGAGAAATATTTTCCAAACAAGTTGCTCTAAAATTCCCATGAACAATTACAGTCGGTTTCTTTGTGTGGTAGCTGAGTGGTGTGCTTAATAAGAACATAATTTTATCCAGGGGTGCCTGAAAATCTGGCTACCTGGAATTTATTAGCCTGGCTGAACAATAAAACTTGTGCTAACACATTTGCTTAACTTACAATAGTATAATCATGCTAAACATAAATCCAAATCTCTTTAAAACTGCTGAATTCAAAGTATAAGGTTGCTTTTGTGTGATGTTTTATAACCACATAACAGTCTTAGTCTTTGCCAGACTAACAACATGGGCTGAAAATAGTACAATTGAGCCAAATAGTGAGAATAATTTGCCTGGTGAGTTTAAGTTACCCTTAGCTTGATTACTCTCCATGCTAATTATTAACCCTATTTTTGCCAAATATACATAATCCCTTATGCTGGCCTGGTGTAGACTACTGCTGTCTACAGTCCCTTGAAAATTGCATTAACCAAACAAATTTGGTGGAGTAAAGCTTACAATGGTCTGCTGACTTTAATCTGTACTTACGGGAAGTGTTTCATGTTTTAAACATTGTGTTTTGCCTTCCAGAATGCGTACATCTTCCACACCCGTCCGCTGACGCCACCGCGGCTGTTTAAACAGGAGGAGCTGGCCAGGTTCCTGGAGGGACAGGTTCAGCACAGGAAAGACATGGAGAAGAGGGCGGCAGAGGACCAGTCATTCATCGAGAAACTGGAGCAGGCACAGCTAGCAGAAGAGTACGTTAAGTTCCTTTTTTAACTATGAAAACCTTGCCAAATACTTTCTTTAGATTATTGTATAGTTTAAAAGAGTAAAATATTATTTTATGAATAAAAATTTAAAAATAATAAATTTTTGCATATTGCTGGTTTTGAAAATGATCTGAGCTGGAGTTGTGATTCTTTTGTTTCACAGTTTGGCCAGGCAGCGATACTTACAAATGAAGGAGAAGTCAGACCAGACCAAGAAGTACATGGAAGCCCTGGACACTCAGGTACAAACCCTTGACTAACAGTAGTAAGAATTTCAAAGTTGAATACAGCAATGTTTTACTCAACTAACCTTTCCACCATAATCATGTGTCATTTAAGCTTTCGGGCTGATCTTTTAGTGTAACTCAGTTGTAGCAATTAAAAGAGTTGTACACTATGCAGTTAGGGAGACCTTTCACTAAATTTCAGGATCAGGAAAAATGTTCTAGCCTTTGAAAGAGTCGCACACTACACAGTTAGGAAGACTTTTTAGGATCAGGAAGAAGTTTGGCTGTGCTTGTATCCCTCAGGTTAGAGATATGGCCTCCCTGGTGCCTGAGATCCCAATGAGACATGTTAGCTTCAGACGACCACACTTCCTGGAACCACTGGTGTTCCCAGGCATGGAGAAAACAGACAGTAATCAGGTAGACAGGCAGGAGGAGGGAGATAATCAGGATGAGCAAGATGACAAGACAAGTGAGATGACAGGAAAGAAGGAAGATCAGAAGGACAATGATGAGCAAGACAGACAGGGCAAACGGGTAGGATAGCAAGAGACGAACAGTGTAGCTCAACGTCAAAGAATATTACGATGATTGAGAAAGCTAGGCTTGAATTTTTTTCATGGTATTAATAACTCCAGTGTAGACAGCTTTATAGGCAGCCATAATATTTAAACCAATTAATTCCATATATTTATCTTCCCAACTTTATTCTGTTGACAGGAAAGACTTAAAAGTGTACTTGCACTACTACATTTGTATATGTAGTGTCCGTCTGTTGTCGTACATGGGCTAAACTTACCCTCTACTGTTTCCCTTTATTCCTAGGTGCGTTTCAAGCCCCTCCCCCTCCCCAAGGCAGTCTCCGACTCCAAGAAGCCCATATTTGGTCTGAACGACATGACCAATGAGAAGCTAGCGGAGCAGCGCCGCCGTGCACAGAACCTGTACAAGGAACAGCTGGACGCCGTGGCACAGAGGAAGCGAGAGGCCATCCTGAAACATCTGACGGCACAGAAGGAGGAGGGAGAGATGTTGGCCAGGACTCGCCAAGAGTAAGTATAGCTCCACTCATGGGATTTATGCTAATGACCCTGAGGGTGGTACTCAATATAGTATTGTGGCAGCAAAACTGGAAATATTTCAGATACCAATGTTCATTCAAAGGCACATTTTAGGCACACTTCCAAGCAGTGCAGAAGCAGCCCCTCATTTCTTTTAGTGGTATGGTAATAAATACATAGCCATGGGGTTGATTCAACGAAATGATCATAACGTTGAGTTTGAATATAGTCCTTAACTTACATTGAGTGCCTTTGAAATAGTACCTATGACATTGACAGACAGTAACACCCCATGTTCCAACACCCCTACATTCTGACATAGGGTTAGGGTTATAGGAATGTAATGTTAACATACATCGTTGTTCTGTTCTCTGCTATTTCTTTGTACATGTATTTGTGGATTTATTCTGTTGAAATCAGCCCCATGTGTTGTAAACTATTACTAACAGCATCTCTTGTTCTTATTTATCCAGCCTGCTGAACGACCGTGCCGGCCGTTACGCCACCATGTACAGCATGCGCAAGTCCCTGGAGGACACGTGGCGTGGTGCCGTGGACATGAAGAAGGAGCGGGACCAGGAGGAGCTCCTGCACCGCATGGCGCCCGGGGAGATGTTACTGGACCAGACGGAGCACTACAGGAGGTGCAAACAGTGTCAGAGACGGCCTGCCAACTGTGGGGAATCCAACGTGTGGAGCGAGTCTCGCTACATCCCGGGCTCCAGGCTTATGGTGTAAAACTTCACTGTGAAATTATGACCAGACTTAACGTGTGACTTGCACAGGATATCTACAAGCTTCTCTAAATCTTAATCCTCTCCCTACTAAATCCCTGTCACATTTCTATTTCAAAATTTTACAGTTCATCAACATAAGAGATTAGTAGTTTATGGGCCATTGAGAAGTGCAGTATGTTGTGCATTTAGGCCAATATATTCACCGGCTATTTTAGTGTGTCTGCCCAAGCTCTCTTGCAAACCATAATGTAGCTTACTTACTTGAATGTTTTTATACACATTAATTTCACTGTTGTAAAGTTACAATGTAAGATAGCAACTTTGACTGATGCAAGCCACACATTTCTAACCTCAACACTATTTTTGGTACTGGTATGATTCGACAGGACTTTTTATAAACCTGATGTAATGCATTACGCTGCTATACGTTCTGTACAGTTTTGTATGTTTGTCTAGTGACACTATTGTTGTGACGATTACTTATACATTATATTATGCAGTAGTATATAGTTTACATTATGTTCAAGGTCTATTGCTTTGTTTTGTGTGTGCTTACAGTATTGTATGATCGTCAATTATCCAAAATGAAGGATCCCCAGTTACCAAAGTTTTGAGAAGTTATGGACTTCATGACAAGCATTTGTGCTACTAGTTTATGAAGATCAAGTGTATATTGAAAATCATGGGCACTATGTGAGAAACAACGTTAAGGACACTTGTTATAAGTATTCCTGGTACACAAAATGTACACTTCCAACTACCACTGAAATGTTTATAATAAATACAGAAGAGTTCATGCACTGTGTGGAAATTTGAGCACATGAATTTTTCACAATCATAAAAGAATGAAGAAGTTTCTGATGTGTCCTGATTTGTATGCTGTAAGCAAATAAAAGCATTTATTTTGCTCAAATTACATTGTATGTGCACTTCATTGATTGTTTTACTGTAGCATTTATACTCATAAGTGTGATACAAGGTCACACCAAAGTAATCTTATAAGGCTGACATCAACATCCTTTAATAAGTTTTCCAATTTTTGGTAAAAAAAGAAAGATAACTTGTCCCCTCCGAACATGTCTAAACACTATGCATCCCATCCAAAGGACAGTTTCAACCAGCACCAGCAACATTAAAATCAGTGTGATATTGGCTATACTGGTCAGAGGGTGCTGGATACCTGTGTAAGACCATCCCTATTCCTCCTAGTCATAAGGTGATGTGAGTGTGGGGTCATGATGCCATCTAGCAGGTTGTGAGGAAACTGCATCAGTAGTTCTGGACAATCACCCTGATAGTACATACATGTAGACAAAAGTTTATTATATTCAGGCTCATTGACCATAACTTCACAGGGTAAACACATGTCATTCATTGGTTCATGTAAAAGTCCTTGCAGTCAGTATTAGCTGACTTACAACACAATTCAAACCTCCCCTCACCTTATTCATACACCGTTGCTTTGGAACATTTGAACAGCATAACAATGTATTTTAATTAGCGTGTGCAAGAACGCAACAGTTAAATAATGCAATCACCATTCCATTTACCACTACTTCTATCATTTTTTCCAGATTTTCAGCTACGTGTATGTCATACAGTTGTATTTAGTCCAAGGACTCCTTTTTCCAACTCTTCAAGGCTATAGCTGAAACATCCTGATGCTATAACTTAGTATCATGTCAGAGACTCAGTAAAGACAGCAAAGATCATCCTTAGTAAGAATCTGCCTTGTGATAACCTTATACAACTCTAACAGAAGCTATGAGGCAACGGTAAAATGTGACAACTGCAGTAGCCATACAACGTAACATACTACAGTCTACCCCCTCCCCCATAGAAATCGAGAGGACACATTTTAGCTTAGTGCATCATTTCAAAGTTTTTGAATGCTCAATTTGTTTCACATTACACATACCAGTATTTTTGTGTGCTCAAACCCTTTGGAATTTTTTTCTCACAAAACTTGAAGTAAATTCTCTACCAAGGGCCAACTTTGCTTACACTTACAGATTGAGGAATGATCTCTAACTCTACAGTATATAGCTGATAATAATTTGAAAATTGTACTTAAGGTTGTTCTAGAATGACTTTGAGCTTAGCTGTATTTGAGAAGGCATTCTAGTACCAGTGGGATGTCTTGGTCTCCGCATAGGCAAATATATTATATACACACTACCCGGCTTCACTGATAGCCCTGTCCTGGGTGCTGGTATCGTGGGCCAGGGCCGTAACCCCCCTAGCGTACGGGTTAGCCTGTCCAGGCTTGGAGGGGGTGGCCCCCCCATGGGGGCTGTGACACCGTAAGGGGGGTCTGGCCTTGTGGACCCTGCCCCTGGTAGGATTGCTGTGTGGATGGCATGGAAGCAGGGGGGTAGCCCTGTTGTGGCTGGGGGGCTGCGGGACCAGGGTAACCCCCCTGCTGCTGCTGCTGGCCGTACATCTGTGGCTGGGAGGCAGGGGGGTAGCCAGGCTGCTGTCCTGGCTGCTGTCCTGGCTGCTGTCCTGGCTGTTGCTGTCCTGGGTGTTGCTGTCCCATGTAACCCTGCTGTGCAGGTGAGTACTGCTGATATCCTGTGGTATGAAAATACTTGTCACTTTCAGTCCCACACACTGAGTATCAACATCAGGCAAGAATGTCTGGTAAGCATGCTTCAACACAGTAACAATTCAAACTTCTACCACAGCACTTGTAAATGGTCCAGACATTAAAGTGAACATACTGGTCATTTAAACACAACAACCCATTAAACAATGAAACAAAAGATGATCACAGAATAGCTTTATTTCATCAGCCATACCCTGGTTAGAATACCTAAAACTATACTGAGACAGATAAGGCTAAATTTGTCTTCAAAGACTGTTCCTGGAATATCTCCATGTGAAATTTGAAAAAATGTCTGACCTTGTTGTTGCTGCTGCTGTGGCTGAACCTGTGCCTGTGTGGGAGGGGGAGTTGGCTGGGGCTGAGGGGGGGTCGGCTGAGTCTGAGGGGGGTATCTCTGCTGCTGGCTGCCATAACTCATCTGCTGGGAGGGGTGACCAGGTGCTACAGACTGTGGGGGGAGGGAACATTATTTCTTCATTTTTTTTCCTTTTTGAGATAAAATATCAAAATGAGTTACTAGTACATGTACGATTTTAAAGATTTAGCTTTCAAACTGTAGAATCAAACTCCAGTCTGAGACCTTACCTGTGAGTAAGGGGGTTGGACGTGCTGTCCCTGCTGTTCCTGCTGTTGCTGTCCCTGCTGTGGCATCTGGTGCTGCACCTGTTGCTGTACCTGCGGCTGCACCTGCTGCTGCTGTACAGGTGCCACCTGCTGTGGTCTGTGCCGCTGCTGCCCAGCTGAAGATGCACTGCTAACACTGTCAGGTGTCCCCGGACGCTCTCCTGGAGTAAAAACAAACATAAACTTAAAATACAGACCTCGGGCAAGGTGGTCTTGTGGTGAGGGTTGCTGACTTAGAATCTAAAGGTCCTGGGTTCAAATCCCTAGCTCACCTCAATATTGTGTCCTTGGGAAAAGCACACAGATAACAAAATTACAGTCAATGTGAGCCTCATTACAATGATTTAAACTAATAAGAACTACAGAATTTTGCTTGGTTTTCTTACCCATATGTGCTTCAATGTATGTGCTTCAACTTTGGAAATTTCAGCAAATCTAATTTGGACTTCCCACATGTTTCTGAAGATTATAGCACATGTGGTAGGCTGTTCCATTCTGATGTAGTTCTGTAGGTTTCTTTCTTGTTGATGATTAGGATTGTTTGTCTGAAACCCCATTGACAGAGACTTACTCTCCGGTGTGCTGGCATCGTTCAGACCGAATGACGACATGACTTTCTGTGTGGCCTCGTCCTGGGATGTCTTCAGGGGGTCAAACATAGCAGCGTTGGCTGAGTTGACGGGTTTGGGAGCCTCCTGGGGGGACTGCTTACTGCCATCTCCTGCAAACAAACACGTGTGAGGGTGGAATGTACTGGTGCAGTTGGTGAGCTACCTCAGTAATGCCCCATGTCACACATATCATACTGCATCCATTAAGGAAGAGAGAAAAATGTGACATTACCGGTGTGCTATCACTAGAAAGTGTATTTAGTACAAATTCAGAGATTTCCATCTATTTGCTTAAATATTCATCCTAATTAATGACCAATGCTATGAGCAAGGAGCTTTTTGAACAGAGTTATTTTTACAAGAAACTTTCCCAATTATGTAAATTATTTCCCAATTGTGCAAATTATTTCCCAATTATGCAAATGTCATCGCGGATTCGAATTAACATATACACTTTACATAAATGGGACACTTGCATACAGTGACCTTAGTACTACTAAGTTAAGGGTAAGGATTATATATAGTGATACTGAGGTACAATGTACAGTACTTTCTCAGTTTCTGTGTATTTTTCTACAGACACGTGAGCACACCTGTTTCGTCCTCGGAGCTGGTGACCCGCGGCGGTGGCTCTAAATGGTCGATGATCAGGTTAATCCTGTTGCGAATGTTGGCGAGCTCCGTTCTCAACATCTTCACCTGGTCACTCTGGAGAGGTCGGGGCTGGCCATTCACTGGAACACAAAATTATTCACTAGTACAAGTAGTTTAACACAACAAGAAAATAGATTTCACCCCTTCGTGAGCTTAAAAATGCTGCATTTAGAGTTTCTGTGAATTTCTTGTTTTAGTCATTATCTTTTGCATACTGCACTAGTCCCTGGAGGAAGACCAAGTCTTACTCACCAAAGATGGTTAGTTTGAGAATCCTACTGCACTGGATTGCAAAAGACAAGTCAGAACTGTCTGCTATGGTGATCAGGTCTCCATCTGAAAGGACAAGGAACATCATAAAGCCATTCAATTATTTGGCAACAGTACTTAATGTACCTGTAACAACTTACATACTCCCTGATATGTTATGAAATTAGATTTTCTAATATATACACAATTGTCTGTTACATGCAACATTACAAGTTGTCAGGAATGTTTCTCATTCAATAAAACCGAATGAGCAAATAAATGAAGGGTCAAAGTGAGGGGAGACCAATGAATTTGAAGTGAAGGAATGAAGAAACAAGTGACTTATAAATGATGAAATGAGTGCACAAATGAATGAACGAAAATACAAAGTGAATAGAAGGGATTGATGGATGAGTAATGAAAAACTAATGAATAAATGCATGAATGAATGAATGTACACACGAATGACTGTAATATAATTTAAATTATCATATAGCCGGGTGGCGTAGACCAATCAGAGGCCTCCGTTACCCGTGCTTTATTCTCCGATAAACCATGGCTCAGCCGTGCGTTATTCTCCATAAACCATGGGTGAAACCATAATGATATAGGGGTACACAGCTCTTTCTGTTAATATTCATAGCAGTTTCCTGGTCAGACAAAATTATGTTTTTTTTAAGCTTCATATAAACTAAAATGTGTGTGAGTATGAAATGTATATGTAAATAGATAGAATTTGAACGGGAGAGCAAAAACCATACTTATTTTGACACCCCTACAAAAAGTGGTATCGCCCACATCACCTGACTGAATCAGACCAGGGATCAGACGATTTATTTTTTTTGGTCCGCCATCTTGCCTTCTTGTGTCATGGAGAGTTTGCCTAATTTCTACATGGAAGAGATAACAGACGCGGATTTAGATGAGATATTTGGACCCATGGAGGTTGAGGAACAGACGCTGGAAGCTACACCGGAGACAGAGGTCAGCAGGGTGCGTTTCGCGTGTCTGAACGAACAACAACTTGGCGAGATAGAGGAGGGGCGAGTTGAAAAAACTACTGAAAGGGCAACCAAGTGGGGAGTGAAGCTTTTGAAAGGTGGGTGTGTTCTTTTTTCAAGTGATTAGCAGGAATAGAATTACATTTGTTTTGCTAATGTTATTGTTACTGTAATATCGACAGGCTGCCAAATTTATAACAGCCCTGTACTGAACTGGAATTTTACAGCAAATTCTCTGATTTAGAATATAATGTTGATAAGTGTGCCAATATGTTATTGGTAGCTGGAGTCTCGAGAATCTTCAGAAGAATTTTGTTCAGAGAATCTTGTAAAATGATCTGTTGCCAGTTGCAATGCTGCAAAAGAAACAATTCTAAAGTGTAAAGTTGTAAACTATATTTATTGTAAAATGATCTCCATATTTATTTTAAAGTACAAACCATGATTATAATATTTTGGAATGTATTGTTATGTAAATATTAAAGGTTTAATGTTTTGAACAGGAATTGTGTTGATTCATTGTGTCAGTTTGGATAGGCTATATGATAATAACGTTAATGCACCGCCTTTTCCTCGGTGTATATGGTGTCATAAATGCATGGTCAGCTGCTATAACCACCTCATAAACCACCTCGTTCGCTTCGCTCACTCGGTGGTTTATTCGGTGGTTATAGCAGCTGACCATGCATTTATGACACCATATACACCTCGGGGCGGTGCATTAACCCTTTATTAATGAAGGCATGAATGAATTAAGAAATGGATGTAGAATGAATGAATGAACATGAATGTATCAATGAACGAATGTACACACTATGAATGAATGTACACACAAAATGTGCCCATGAAATGATGAATGAAGGCATGAATGAATGAAGAACTGGATGAGTGCAGACTGACCCTCGTCCTTGTACTTGATCTGGACCTCATCGCTGCTGCCCAGCTGTCCACGGAACACTCTCTGCATCATGAGGACCAGCTCATCATATGTGATGTCCTCATTATGGATGGGGATGCGCCGGATGTCCTCCCCCAGCTGAGCCTTGATGATCAGCTTCCCGCTCAGGTCCAGCTGGGCAAAGTTGTTCTCGGTGGCAGAATTCATGGCGCCTGGGCTGTCTCTCATATACTCGGTCTGGCATGGGGAAAATAACAGTATGAATAATAAAACGTAATGGGTACTGTAGGCTTCTTCAATTCAGCATAATATGTAGCGTAGCATACATAGCATACGTAGCATAGAGTGTTGTCGTGGCCCCCCATGTGGGCCCTCATTGATTGGTACACTCCAACATGTACAAGTTAAACCACCTGTACATGACGTAACAACTACCTACTCTCCAAGCAAAGATTTAGGCTTCGGCTTATTTTTGGCGTGTTTAACTTAAAGGCATTTTTATCATATTATTGTAGTAATAGTAATTTTTTTCACTCCGGTGGTTAATGGTAACTGTCTGGCAAATACATACTGCCTGGTCAATTTGATAGTGTCTTTAGTACTCTGTAAAATTTACAGACACCAAAAGATCTGCTTGGAGATAAACCACCACCTGGCCAGTTGGACCACTTTTTGTTGGTCCCTTTGATATTTTTCCAATTAACACTGATTGTATTATATTTTGGCCAAATCACACATAACTTTACAACACAACCCTGTACAGGAAACAATAATTTTCAGCACAGAAATTTTTGACAGGACGGATGTGTTTGACAAGGAAGTTACATGCCTCCTTGGGTTGGAGTAGGGTTAGGTCGGCATAGGTACCAGTATTTGGTCAGGGCTAGTTGGTTAGGTTTAGGGTTAGAACTCGACCGAAGTGTAGAACCGACTTGGTCTCACAGCCATAAGAGTTGACCAATTATGTTCCGCCTCGTACGCCAAACATCCATCCATGACATGACGAGACACAAATTTTCATAATTTTTACCCCCCTCCCACCCTGATACACCCCGAGTGTTTTTGCAGAATTAGCGTGATTCTGGTGCTGTAATTCCCCGTAGAAATATCTAGGAAGGCTCCCTACCTTATATAACGCGTCGATGGGGTTTTTGTTCCTCTCCTAAGATGCTGCGAACAAGGAATTTCTCAGTATCGTACGACAACCCATCCCCGAACGAAACACAAAATCTCGTGAACGTGGCACTGAAATCTCGCGTTACGTTGATTAGTGCAGGGGCGACATCTAGCAGTTGGTAATGGAAATGCAAGCGTCCCGCATCCTTCGCGCGTTCAAATTACGTCATAGACTAATAAGTCTATCTATCTCTTTTAAACAATGGTTTATTTTGTCACAATAATGTCATAATGACCCCTTTAACTGTCAGCTCCGAACGTTGGAAAATGACACTGCTGATTTGCTAGATTTGTTGGCCGCACATAAACAAGTTTGCGGACAGATCGCTGGTTGATATCTTTCCCCCTATGTTGTGGGATGGCTGATGTAGAGACTGCCGTGCCGGAGGAGATGGAGTGTCAGGAGGATCTGACAGGATCTCCCGTCATCACTCACGCCTCGATCCACCGCAAGAACTCAGACTACATGGTACGTATACGTCACTGGCCTGGCCAGTGGTGGGCCAAAAAGAATCACACTAGTTTTTGCAATTGCGCACCTGCTAGTAGAACCTTCGTGCGAATTGTTCATTGCACTTACTTTTTTAAGCATTTGAGTTTTTTCCTTGGGCCATTTTTTTCCCTGGAATTGCAAAGTTTATTTGGAGGGGGTGGATGTAGGTCAAAACTGGTCAAAATTTGTGTCTTTTGCCTGTTTTGCACGCCTGTACTACGATTGATCCCAAAATAGCGAGATGGCACTTCTTCTCTTGTTGGCATTTGGACCGCAATGCCACATTGGGACAGAAATTAAAATCCTTTTTACCCAAACGTGAAACCTGACAAATCCCAATATATATATATATTACAATATTTAATGGAACAGCTGCAGCAGCCTAGCCTGGGTGCCATCCGAATTTGTAACGGCTCCCCCGATTTTTTCGGGAGAGCCGTTACAAATTCGGATGGCACCCAGGCGATTTTTTCGGGGGAGCCGTTACAAATTCGGATGGCACCCAGGCTAGCAGCAGCCCACTACCCATGCCACTACTTGTACATGTGCCCTTTCAACCCCCATACGTTCTGTGCCTTGCTGGACTCCAGGTGGACCACTCAGACCCCATGCTGGAGACTGCCATGCCTGATGAGATGGATTTCGCCCAGGTGTTTGCCGGGGAAAAGGACGAGGCGCAGGAGACGGTGGAGATTCCCGTGGACGACATCCCTGTGGGAGACAAGAACCTACCAGAACCCGAGGAGAGCAACATCCTCACGTAGAGAAGAAAAAACACGTCTGAAACACCAGCGTCTACAGATATTAATGTCGGGAGCGATCATGACAACGTTGTGTGGGTGGTTACTCTAAACATCATCAGGTTATTCAGTCAAGTTACTCAAATTACTAGTATACACGCACTCTTCCTTCTAGTGATCACTGTGACTATAGTTTTCTGACTACAGGGCTTCCCTGACAACCGTAAAATTGAGGAGATAGAGACAAGACTACTACTTACTACTAAAACCGTCTGCTATATACGTATATACCGCCACCCAATGATAGGAGTTGCGAATACTTTAAACAGCGCAGCACTACAGTATAGTACAGTGCAATAATGCGACGGAAAGCAGCAGTTTGGTTGGTTTCACAACCACCGTTGAACCTACACTAATGCTGACCCTTTTCGGGATAGGTATCATGGACCTAATAACAAAGTCGGTGCCCAGTCGAAATATGACTTAATACTGTAGTTGTTATTACGTTGCCACATGCACATGGTGACACATGGCACTGTAAATAAATGGAGCACTCTATGTTTTGAGGTTTACAGATCAATCTTACCATACTTGTGTACATCAATAAAATGATGTGTTAGAATGTAATTATTAGCTGTGATGTTTTTGATTATCAAACATGAGGGGTCTACTCACTCACTCACTCACTCACTCACTCACTCACTCACTCACTCACTCACTCACTCACTCACTCACTCACTCACTCACTCACTCACTCACTCACTCACTCACTCACTCACTCACTAATTTAGGGTTACATAACCCTAACCCTAAATTAGGGTTAGCTAACCCTAAATAATTAATTAGGGTTACATAACCCTAAATTAGGATCCACATAGTAGCCTTTTTGCCAGTTAGTGCACCTCTCTCCCTAAATTAGGGTTGGAGCTTGATTGAAAGGTTCACAACAAATAGGCCAGCTGCCTAACGACAGCAAGTTGATAACCGAGACGTGTTAGCAATCCAAGGCCTTTCCAATTTGTTCGCTATCGTCATAAAATAATTTGTTTTCCCTTAACGACCTTTTGATAGGTGAGGGCGAAGGCGTGGTGCGTAGTGCGTCAGGGATATTGACTGCGTGTATTGTAGGTAGCATTAGTGTGTTGTAGGTAGCATTAGTGTGTTGTAGGTAGCATTAGTGTTGAATAGATGCCCTTGACTTCTTTGCCCCTGTTAGTTTTATTAGTGTCCGCTCACATCCGGTGACACCTACGCTTTTTTCATGGCAGAATTCAAAAATTCTATGAACGGTCGTGGATGGTCGTACGGCTGTCTTGCGACGGGAAGTGTCGTCGTAGATCATTGTTTATAGACGGTCCTTTTTGTCGTAACCTCGATGAACAAAAAGCAGCACCACGAATGAGATCGCGTCGTCATAGCAGAACATGTGGAAACAGTGTCCCCCATTGTAAGCAATAACCCACTGCTTATAGCCTCAGATGACGCCATCTTTAATTCTGGTAAGATTTTACATAAACAATTGCTTGACATCCGCATTCAGAGGACAAAAACGTGCTAATCTGGGTCGTCTCTGGTTGTAGCTTGTTGGGTTGGGCAGGGTAAGGTGACACATGTTCTTAAGCCGGGAGTACTTCGTGCGTAAAAACTGCACACACTTTGTAAAAAGGGCGGGAGTAAAACGATCCGGACGGTAGAAAAAAACATCAGCAGCTTTCTTTTACCAACTCTCTGTGTTAAGCCGGAGTCACACAAGAAAATAGCCTGCTCAAGAGTCTGTGAGCTCAAGAAGGGCATTTGGCGCAACAATACGGTCTATTTTCAGGCATCACCCAATCTTCGCAGGTCATTGAGTAAGGTAAGGGTAGCTTTTCTAATAAAATGCTAGTATACACCTGACTCCCTGGCATGGCGATGTTGAAATTTGGCGACCTTCTGGCAACCAACGGATTCGTCCGAAGGTCGGTTGACAGTGTGGCGCCAGCTTGAAGAGAGACCGCCAACAGCAGACTTCCAAGCCCGACAGGTTTGACGTACGGACGCCGGGTATACTATTTATAGATGTATACGTATGTAACGTGCTAATACATTATATATATATATATAGAGAGAGAGAGAGGTATCCCTTAGCACTAGGATACGCCGTACGAAAACTGATGGCATTCTTTGGGTTACTTGCATGTATCGTACAAAGTCTAACTATCTTGTAGAGGAAAATGTTGGTGCTTAGTTCTGTCACAATCGTGCGACAACCTAACGGCGAGTGTAGTCGTGAGGTTAACGACAATAAGCTTGTGTGGATCATACTTTGTCCTTTTTTCTTCATTACAGATTAACCAGTACCTTCAGAAGAGGTGGACTCGGTATCGTCTGCAGAAGTACTAGTATAAACATCGAAAGACGTGCTCTCCGTGCCATGGAAGTCCAGCAGCAGAAAAATGTACTAATTTGAAAATCAGGGCGACGACAGAATTTAATTTGATTTTGTATTGCGTTTTTTTTTCGTGCACGGTACATGTAGAGCTAATAATAAGATGGTTCGTACAGCTATATGTATGTATTTTTTAAATTTATTACTTATGTCATAGTATAGCTTTACAATTTTACTTAAGAAACCAAAATGTTTTTTTATTATTTCAGGAGAAACTAGCTCCTGTCCATGTGACGCCACGAGAATCCACAGGTGCGTGTTGTCAATGTTTACCGGTAAATACAGGCTATTCATTGCGGCTAGTGGACCAACATTCTGACTCCTTGTTAATTGGCTTGCGTTGGGATCACATTTGAAATGGTGCATGTCAGTAGCTAACCACAGCCACATAATGATACTTTTATTCTCTACTCGCCGCCATACTAACATGAACCGTCTCACAATCAGCTAATTTGTACTCTTACTTGTACTTAAGAACCTCTATATGATAAACTTTAGGTAGCTATAGTGCTATTTTGCTGGTAGAATACACAGATGCAGATTCTTGCGTTGTACAAATGTATGAATTATATCCTTAAGGAACTTAAGAAGAATCAGGATTCGTCATCGTAAAACGATTATCTCCTTCTTGTCTACTGTGCGTATTACCTACAACTGCAGAACAAAGAAACTATTGCCTTTCTGTGTCAGCTGTGTAAACTAGTTACTTTACTGTTATCCAAGTTGTGTAAGTGATATATACTTTGATGGGTAGTTTTTAATTTGCGCTGAATTTTATCAGCAGTTTTTTTGGTAGGTTTATGTAAATTTGTTTACGCATTGTTTCCATAGCAACTATCCCGTAGAAAATAAACTTCACTACAATTGGTAACTATATATTGTGTCTTGAAAGGATTACATAATGTAAACACGCAAGGGCTCACGGATGTCTCAAAACGTTTAAGCTTCTGGTCAGATTAAAAAAGATAGTAGCAGAATAGCCGAAATTCAACAAAATAAACAACCTTGCATTTTACGCAGTAACATGTTTACACCTTTTACTAAACGTTAGTTTTTCCAGCGTTGTAAGATGAGTAACGGCACGTTGCCTACTAGACACATAGCACAAACCGTTTATTTCCGTTCCAACAGGTCCCCTGACTAACGCCGTTCTCCGCTGGCTGGGACACCTGATCTGCGGCAGCTGGGAGGAGGTGGCGCGGGCTGCGGACGTCTCCAGGGCTAAAGTCAGCAAGCTCCGGCGGCAGTACCAGGACGACAGGGACGAGGCCGCCTTCCAGATGCTGGTGCACTGGCGCAGCAGTCAGGCTAAAGGGAACGACGCGTTCCGAGAACTGGCCACGGCCCTGGAGTCGTGCGGGTTTAACAGCGTGGCGAAGGTACTCCTGAGGAGGAAGGAGTCCGGGCTGCTGCTCCGGAGTCCCTCCACGATAGAGGCTGCGTGCGGGGACCAGGGAGTGCTTAAGAGTACTCCTGCGGAGGCCATCACTGATAATCTCTGAGAGCACGGACCAGAGTACTCCAGAGCAGTGAGTGCTTCAGACTACTCATGTGGAGGCCATCACTGATACTGACTGAGAACAGGAACCAGAGTACTCCGGAGGAGTGAGTGCTTCAGATTGCTCCTGTGGAACCAATTACTGATACTGACTTGAGAGCAGGGTCCAGGGTACTCCGGAGGAGGGAGCGTTTCAGATTGCTCCTGTGGAGTCCATCACTGATACTGAATGAGATCAGGGGTGAGGGTACTCCTCCTCCGGAGTGCTTTATATTGTTCCTGTGGATACCATCACTAATGATGACTTAGAGCGGGGACCAGGGTACTCCGGAAGGGGGAGTGTTTCAGATTGTTCCCGTGGAGTCCATCACTGATACTGAGAGCATTTATATGGGGGTCAGCACTTGATATAGTCGTAGATGCTCTGTATGAAGTGGAACTGTAAAAGACACTGTACAAGTACATTCTCACTAATGCCAAGTGTTTATTGTACCACATGAATGTACAAAATGTATACAGTTTTTAGTTTTGAACACACTTGCACAATGCAAGCTACATGTAGTCAAGTAAGATGGTAGATAATTTGTATTTAAAACTTCTTGTGTTGTTGATGATTGTTGTGCGTTTTGAATATTAAAACTTTCTGTATGATGAAGAGATGCTGTGATGAAATCATTGATGAAAAAAACATACATGTAAATTGAGTATCATTGTAGACATAACAGGGCATTGTTAAGAATAGCTCTAGAGAAAAACATTTAGAAGAGATTTGCTGCATTTAGTGCTATTTCTTTTACACACTGTATTACGTACAAACATCTACATTCATTTTCGCTTGTCAAATTCCAAGATTCCAAGATCCTCAATGAGACAATTCCAACTTATCTAACATTACTATACAACAAGTAATTTACATTACAAAATCTCACTTCACTTAGGTAGCACACATTTTCATCATGTCTAACAGTCAAAATTTACAGTTTTGCAAATTCATCTTAACAAATGTAGTCATACAGTATGCTATTACTAGTATATACATGTTGGCACAAGGTCCTTCAGGTATAAACAAAATTCAATTATGTCTAACATTCAAAATTTACAGTTTTGCAGAATTATTTTAACAAATTATTTCAACCTATACGGTACGCTACTACTAGTATATACATGTAGGTAGAAGGTAGTCTTTTAGATATGAACCAAACGCACCATGAGGATATATATATATATCATGATGTCCACTTATACAACCCTTTCTCACACACAAGCTCCTTAATGTCTTCAGTACGGAGTTCTTTTGTCATACTGTTCTCTTCTACAATCATGGATTCTGTATCCCTGAGTCTGTTGAATGTGGCAGTGGCCTCATGTGTACTGAACACAGTGCTGAAGTCACCATGTTGTGAGTGTTGGAAGAGTGAGCACAGTTGTTGTACATGGCAGGGAAGCAGGGGGCCACTGACCTCCAGGCTGTTGACCTGGGTTAACTTGCCAGCTATGGTCTGTCTGATGCTGCCTTGTTTGACCTTAAATAATAAAAAAAATCAAATTCACTAGGTTAAGAAGCATTTACCTTTTGATTGTTCCAATCCTACAGCAGATACAGAGTGTACCATATGACTACTAAAGAAAATAAACCAATTCTAAGTTTAAAGTTAAACACTTAAGTTGCAACACAAAGGGTTGTTCTCACCTAGACCTTCTTCAATACACTGACCCTGTGAGACTTGTCATGTGGCTTCTCTGAAAAGAGGGTTGAAAGAAGCTATCTACATCAGGTCCCATTACCCAAAACTCAACTGCAACTGGGGACATTGTTTACCAGATACCTTTGACCCAGTTCAGAGAAGCCATGTGACAAGTCTCACTGGGTCAGTCTGTTGAAGAAGACCGGAGTGACTGGTCAAAAGTTTTAACTTTAGACATGTAACTACCAACACAGATGAACTTTCATGACAGGAAAACAATTCTAAACACAAACCTTCAGTGCCCTTAGTGTTGCTCCTTCAAAGGCTACAGGAGCCAGAAGGGTGGGCGGGACCCCAGCCAGAGGCCCTGATTGGGTGACCAGACTCTTACTGTTGATGAGGAAGTTGAACAGGGCCTGGGTGTCGCCTCCAGACACCTGCACAAGGGATTCTGGGAAATGGTCGATACTCTTCATCTTGCTTCTCTGACTGGTTTGGGGAATTAAGGTGCTACAAATCCTGTAATTTTATTCATCCATATCATATATTCATTTATTAATCATTATACCATGAATATACAGTGGTTGGGGTAGACCAGAGAAAGGACATTAGAGATTGCAGCCTTGCCAGTGTGGACCTGCTGGACAGAGTCACTTGGAGGTGCTTTGTAAAGACTAGCCGACTGCTGCCTACCCTGTAGACCCCTACAGCAGGATACTCAAAGCCTGGATACTACTACTACTTCTATGTACTGCATTACATGTACAAAATTGTTATAATAAAAAATTCTGAAAATTCCATGATAACAAAGTAAAACACCAAAGAAAGAAAGCAAAAACAGCTACTGCTTGGTTTTGTTTCTTCTGTTGAAAGGATACACTTTGACCTTCCTGGGGTCTAACTCAGGGAAGCTGCTCTTGTCCAGTCCCATGCTCTCTAACCAACAGGACGCTCCAGAGTCATCTATGGTGATGTCATCATCATCATCATCATCTTCATCGCTCATATCACCTCTTTTTTCACTAGTAATGGTTAAAACAATAATGTACATGTATGGTTAACATAGCAGAATTATGGTTATCCTAATAATGATCATTTATGCAGATGGCCATTGCAAGTTATTGTTAGACAGAGAGCCATCTATCACCATGGTGTTACAGGCTCTAATGTCTGGTTTCCATGGTGACAGAGAATCCTGAGCTCCCATTGGACTGATATTTCCAGTGACAAAGTACCCTTAGCTCTTATTGGTACTTCTCATTTTTTAAATGAATCTTCTAATCTGAAAAACCACATTAAAAAACAACCACAAACTCTGAATGGAGTGAAAGTGTGCAAAACAATAACATTGCAGACATTTTTCTGTCCGAGGGGAAAAAGTACCTTTTCTCTGGACATGCCTCACTAGCACCATCATCCTGCTTGCCATCTGTGCTCAACTTTCTGCTGGGATCTGAACCACCAGACTGCCTGGCTGCAAGGGGCATCTTGAAGCTAACTCCTGAATGGAAAAAAAGACTATGAATTAAAATGATTCTTTAAACCTTTGCTTGCATGGGGTCTACCAATATGCTAGAGGCCAAATTTTCAAAATGCAGTAACACAACTTTTACCTTCGTTATCCAGAGCCTCCCTGAGTCCCCGAGATGTTGGAGTCAGAAGTGCGCCCAGGGATTTAGCGCCACCTGTCTGAACACCATGGAACAGCACGGTGAACTGGTGTCCACACACATAGAAATACGGACACATCTGGGCCTTCAGCAGCTGGAATACTGACCGGAAACTGTTGGTCCTGCAACAGTACAGATTGGGAATTTGAACATGATGAATACTGATGCGTTTGATGAATTTGAACAGATTTAACAAAACTACAAAAAGCAAACCTGTGTAGTTATGCAACAATGTTTTAACTTACAAACCTGAACTTGTTTGCACTCCTATCTATTTAATAATATGACATATATTCTTACTGTTACAGTTGCTTACCAGTCAGAAAGTAATGCCTCTTGTATGTTTGGGATGATAGTCGCTGGTGGGCCTTTGCTGTGTCCAAGGGCAAAAAAGATAATTAAACAAACTGGGTACAAATGTTAATACTACAGACTTTGTTGCTGTCTAAAATGGCATATAATCAAGAACAAGATATATGTGATGTATGTAGTTAATGTTATGGTAAATGTTATGTTAATTTTAGACCAATGCTGTCAAATAGCCAGTGCCATAGGACCACGGTAATAACATCCATATCTAAGGACTATGCATGGGGTAGAAACAACTGTTGGATTTCAAATTCCTGACCTCTTGGTTCAGAGATAGGGTTGACTGTGTGAACCAATGGGCAATAATGATGTAGGAAGTGTGAACAAGTGTAATAAGCCCCTTGGAGGTCTTACCTGTCCACCTTTCTACTGGTAGATACTATCCTAGGGAAGAGTCTCAGCCATGGTAGGTTGGGATGGATCCATGTCATCACACACTGCTGGAAACTAGAAGCCCAACTCTACAAAACAAACAAAGAAAAAAATACACATATACTTTCATATCTAAGATGATCATTTAGCATGTGCTCATTTACGTATAGGGTCCCCAGATACGTACAACATAGAATTTGGAGCAGACCATTTGACAGACTATTAACAATCAGAGTAAACTCAAAAACTATGTCTGAAAAACAACAGCATGTTTAAGACAACTTTTTTCTAACTGCTAAATGTTATCCTTCCATTCACATTTATAATGCATCCACTCATTCAGTCCTTTCCATTTTTTATTCCTCCTTTGGGTGAGCAAGTGCATTAGAAATTGACAAAAATGAGAATGATTAAAACATACACAGACTTTGGTTACAAAATTACCCTTTCTGTTTATTCAGTTATTGATCATTCATTCATTTATCTAACAGTATTTACAAATTGCTAGACTTACTTCAGGATCTGCCAGTGTGTTTTTCTCCTGGCCCCTGACAAACCCACAGACTCCTGAAGCCTCGTCTGTTGTCTTGATCCTACTGCACCAGGAGAAGGGGTGGGGGGAGGTGAACCTTACCCGTGACTTCAGGCTCAAATCTTCAGGCAGTTCACGGCTACCAACTTGAGTCAAACTTTCTGGCGTCTCTTTCTCCTCCACCTGAAATACAAAAAAAAATTACTGGGTAAAATGAAAGTACCTTTATTAGTCTATGAGCATGCACATTTATTGCACTACTGCATTTTGCCATCTAATACTATTACTGGTATGTATGACTGCTAGTGCCACTGTCACTAATACTGGTATGGATTACAGAACTTAAATGAAAAGGTGCTGTTAAATGAATATGCTTGTAGTCGGTAGTTAAGTAATTAGTAAATTCTAAAATGACTTTAAACAACTAGGATGAACTTTCGTGTAGGTACTAGTATTGGTAACATTACCTGTGCTTGGCTGTCTTTTGGAGGTTCTGCATCTATAGTTGGACCACCATTGAGTGGATCATCTGTCGCTGGTCTTTTTTGATGCACGTCAGCAGACAGTGAAGGTGTCTGCAATTTCTGTGGGTGGATAAGGGTGATCATAAATCTTCGGTAATGTAAATGCCACATAAACAATAAAGGTATATAATGATATTTGTGACTTATTTCAAACTAGTACATCATTCATACTGAATCATGGATTTCAGTACCGACACATGTAAAACCTGGGAGCCAGGCCTGGCAGGCACCCAGGTTTTTCCGTAAACCCACATGTGTATACCAGTATTTAATACAAGTGTATAGAAACAATACCTGTTCCTCATCTAGTTGAGACAGTCCTGCCAGAAGTTTCCCCTCCACGTCAGGCCCCGTCATGTTGTCTTCCTCTCTATCAGACGACAGTGTCCGCACAGAACCAGACGTCCCAACATTTGCCCTCTTTGGGAGGGAGCCACAACCAAACGGGTTTCTCCTTTTGGACTTCATTCTTGCATCTTCTGAGGCGTCGCCGGCATTTCTCGTTCTTAAGACACCGTCTGGGACGGTTAGCTTGTTAGTTGATTGACCGTTCTTCTTCCTCCGCTTAATTGTGATGACTTTCGGAGGCCTCTTCCAGTCAGGTGAAGAACTGTTGACGGGAACGTCTGACGACATTTTGGGGATCTTGTTCCGTCAGACAACAGCTTTGTTTTCAGGAAAATTACGTCAAAACGTGGCCAAGGAGTTGTCCGAAGGTGCTGTGTAGCAGCAGACGTCAAGTAAATGTCGAAACCAGGCTATGTTTTGGACAACTTGTGAGAGATTTTCGCAAAAACCTACTGCTAGTCTGCCGACAAAGAAAAATTTCCCGCCTTCTGTGGAAAGCGACCTTTGTCCTTTCGAGGAAACCAATAGAAATCCAAAGGGGGACAAGAACTTGGTCACAGTTAAATATTTTGAAGTTTTATAAAATAACAATATAGAATATTTTTTGATAGTCATTACTTTTGGTCGATGCAATTTGATGTTATTTCTAACTTAAAATCCATATTTTTATCGTATCTAAAAATCACAGGTTTAACGCCCCTAATATACAGTGTAACCTTCCGACTCCCATCAGACACTGCGAGCCATCCGCGACGAACGCCATCTTGTGTTTTTTCTTGAGACTTTCGTGGTGCAAAAAGTGTGAAAATGCCACGAATTACGATAAAAGGAGGAGTTTGGAGGAACACGGAGGTAAGTTTAGTTCCCACAGACTATAGTGGCAATGCCATAGCTCCTGAAATATGGCTTATGTGATGATTTCAAGCACCCACGTTTTCTTTGTAGACCCACTACGTTGTATCTGCGTAACACATGTTGACGCATCGCTTTAGGAAAGTACAAACAAATGTATGAAGTTATGACAAAATTAACGACAAAGTCCCTATATAGAGCTTAACTTTACAGCTTTTTAGGAACTTTTGGCAAATTTATGTTAAACTCATAGATGTAGATGTAAGTAATTTCCAGCGAGAATCCTTCACTTTTGTGATATGATAATTTATGAGTTGTCATGACTGCAAAAAACTGTGGAACAGCAGAAATTACCACAGTTTTTTGCAGTCAAAATAGATTAATCATATTATGATATTTTGGTGTTCAAAGCATATGTACAATGAAGCAGATATTCAGTTGAGTTTTTTGCATTTCTTTTCTCCAGGATGAAATCCTCAAGGCTGCTGTGATGAAATATGGCAAAAACCAGTGGTCACGAATCGCCTCACTTCTGCACAGAAAGTCTGCCAAACAGTGCAAAGCAAGATGGTGAGACAACATAGAGTGCTTTGTTTAATATATACTATTGCGTATGGTAAGATAAGGCTCTTTTGTATGATTACCTGTCCTCCATGAAAAATGGAGGTATTGTTTTTGGTGTGTCTGCTGTCTGTCTGTGTGTGTTTCTGCATGTAGTCAGCATAACTTCAGAACGCCTTTGTGGTTTGTGATGATATTTGGTACGTTGGTAGGTCATAGGAAGACAAAGGTCAAGATCAAATATGGGCCTCCTGGTGGCTGATCTTGGTACTGCAGCAGAATTTCTGGTTTTTGTATCTTTTGTCCTAAACGTGTTATGGTCATACTGTGTTACCCCAGGTTTGAGTGGCTGGACCCCAGTATTAAGAAGACAGAGTGGAGCCGTGAGGAGGATGAGAAGCTGCTGCACATGGCCAAACTCATGCCCACCCAGTGGAGAACCATCGCTCCTGTGGTGGGCAGGACTGCTGCACAGTGTCTGGAGAGATACGAGTTCCTGCTGTAAGTCTCAGTACTTTTCAGGGCTCAAAATAGTTTTTTTCTGCACCCCTGCACTACTGGTGCAGGTAACTTTGAAAGTTACTTACACCAGACACGTTTTACCTGCACCAGACAGACTTTGAGAAGTATGGATCATACTAAAAACTCTTCAGAAACCATTGCCATTATTAGGTAATGACAATCAATGCAGCAAATAAAAATCCACATATACCTACATAAACGTAGTACATGTATGTGGACCAGTACAGGTTAGGTGCAGGACTGCAAGTAGACATAAGGAAGCTCCAAGCTAAGCTTACCTGCACTAAGATGCAAATGCACCCAGTATTTTGAGCCCTGAAAATGATAAAAATTATGTTATAGCTAAAGAATGAGTGTGTTTTTTATTGCAAGCTCATGATAAGTCATCTCACAGTTACCCTGTTGCAAGGCTTTTTTGGGTACGGTCAGAGATTAGGGCCCCACAAAAGTAACCAGACATCCATGCCCACATGAACATGTTGTACTAAAGTGTGTTTGTGTTATTTGCACAGTGATCAGGCACAGAAGAATGAGAATGAGGAGGAGTCAGGTGGTTTGGGGGATGATCCCAGGAAACTGAAGCCAGGAGAGATCGACCCCAACCCAGAGACCAAACCAGCCAGACCTGATCCTATTGACATGGATGAGGACGGTGAGTTTTCATTATTGGCTCCACCCCAAAGGTGTTGCCAAAAATCGGTTCACTTGTGTTTATATTTGTTTGTATGTCTGCTATTATATAGTATTAATGTCATTTTTGCTGTCCTTTATAAAGATTTGGTTAGGTTTCATAAAATGAGGCCTTGACTAGTGAATATCTGTAGTTTGGCATACACACCTGTATGTTGATTTTAAGATTATTTTTATATTTAACTAATGAACAAGGCATGCTGATATATGAGCCCTGAAACTTTGCTGGACCTAATCTTAAAGAAATGTAGGCATTTATTAAGCCTAGCTTTTCAGCAGAGAATTGCACCTCATTATATTTATAGTTACTGAATTGCTGATTTACTGAAATTAAGTACATTCGGTAATGTCTTAGGATAATGATTGTGTGAATTTGTGTCCTTTATTTCCCAGAGCTGGAGATGTTGTCGGAGGCGCGTGCCCGTCTGGCTAACACCCAGGGGAAGAAGGCCAAGCGGAAGGCGAGGGAGAAACAGCTGGAGGAGGCCCGCCGTCTGGCCGCGCTGCAGAAACGCAGAGAGCTGAGAGCAGCAGGGATAGAGTGAGTGGAGCAATATCTTTCAACTTTATTTAGGCCAAGAAAAAAAATGTTGTGTTTCCTGTTTCACTCCTAAAAAATTAGGTTCGGTAGGTAGGAATTATCTTGTGCTACACTTACTTGATTAAAATGACAGATGCTTGTTTACCTTTGGCTTGAAAAGGCCATTTAGACTTCCAACTTGACCTTCTTGTCAATCTGCACTAAATCTCCCCCTCTCTCCACTCCTACCACTCTATTGCATTCAATATTATCCCAGGATACACCAGCAAACACGCACACCAAAAACAATACCTCTGTACCTAAAAATAACAAGTGCTCTTAGCACTAATTCTTCGTATGTCACTGCTTCAGGGTCATGAAGAAGAGGAAGAAGAAAAGAGGTGTGGACTACAATGCAGAGATCCCGTTTGAGAAGAAACCAGCGCCAGGGTTCTACGACACGGCCGAGGAAACCTACCAGCCGCTCAAGCCAGACTTCAAGAAGCTGCGTCAACAGAACTTAGATGGGGAACTCCGAGATGACGTGGAAAGTGTAAGTTACTCCAAGAAAGAAGAAACTTTCATTTCTGCCAATACCTCCTTTTCCTCCAACCATAAGATTTAGTCTGAGTGAAAATAATTAATTGTACGGTACCTTTTTCTCCTGTTCAGCGTGAGCGGCGGAAGGACAAGCAACGACAGAAGAGGAAGAAGGAAAATGAGCTACCCGATGCTATCCTGCAAACTCAAAGGTACATTTTCTTTTTACACACACCTCTTAAAAAGCTGCTGTATTCGATTCATTGGAGTAACACATTTTGGTATTGATCGAACAATACTGTGACAGCATTGTTAGAAAAAAGATTGATTAAAAAGGTTTTAAAATTAAACAATTTTTTTTAGAGCCAACAATCCAGAGTTCCAGAAGAAAAGGAGTAAGCTGGTGCTACCTGCACCACAGATTTCTGAACAAGAGCTGGAGGAGGTATGGTCATTTGTATCTGTTTCAATCCCTTATCCTAACTTTTGTTGTGCAATAAAGCTTGATTTCTTGATATTGATACTGTTATTACTGTGTTTGTATTTGTGATTGTACGGTTTTGTATTCCTAGGTGGTCAAGCTTGGCCAGGCCAGTGAGTCGGCCAGAATGGTGGCAGAAGAAGGGGCCGGGAGTGAAGCGTCCAGAGCACTTCTGTCGGACTACACCGTTACGCCTCGGCCAGACCAGCTCCGTACTCCGCGAACTCCTGCCACACAGGACATGGTTCTTCAGGTTGTCAATTTCTCCTTTTTTTTTGTTTACCAAAGGAAAACATACTGTGTTTGCTCTGTTTCGTCTTCTTCTTCTCCAAACCAAAAAGGTCAATGACCTGAACCAGACATCTGTCACCATGGTAACTGGCGTTGGGTTACATCATGTTGCAATTTTACAGCAGGAGGGATTTAGACTCCTGTCTGACCATATATATGAATGTGTTTGAGTAAGAATTAACAGAGCAGACCATATGCAAAGGTAAACATGCATTTGCCTTGTAAATGTTACCTTTCTAGTTTCTTGTTGTCATTGCATACTTATTCTTTTCTTATTTTTTTAACGTTGATTATACATATACTTTTTTGACTGTTGTTGTTTGTTTTTTTTTGTCTGTAGGAAGCGCAGAACATCATGGCTCTGACAAATGTGGACACGCCCCTGAAAGGCGGACTCAACACCCCGTTACACGAGAGCGACTTCTCTGGAGTCACGCCCAAGCACCAGGCAGTAGCCACACCTAACCCCACATTCGTCACACCATTCAGAACTCCTGGGCAGAGTGATGGTATGTGTTACAACTCTTAACATATGTACAAAAATATACAGCAAAAAAGAAAATACAATAATATTTCTAGACTATGACAACTTTGTTAACATATTTAGGAATTGGAAAAGAAAAAAAAATAGTAAAAGGGCAACAATGGATTTTTAATGCTTGCCTTTTGATATTTGTTTTCATGGTATCCCACGTCAAATGAGTTATCTATTGATTCACCATGTAAGCTAAGAATGACCCCTATCAGACCTTTTGAAACTACAAATGTTTATGTTGTAGGTTTATGAAATAGAGATTTACTGACAACAGCTGCTGCCTTTGTTCCACCTGTTCCATTATATTGTTACAATTTCAATAAATCAAATCGATCAAATCAAACTTTTGCTACTGCAAATGCAAACATAAAGTGATCGTCATTTCTGATTGGCAGGTATGACTCCGGGGCGCGGGTTCACACCAGGCCGTGGTTCAGTGACGGCAGGACAGACCCCGCTGCAGGCCTCCGTCAGAGACAAACTCAACATCAACCCTGAGGAGGGTCTGATGGAGTATGACGATCCACAGTATGCCAAACACCTGCAGGTGAGCAAGGAGAACAATTCTGTCCAGGTGTAAACATGATATGGTAATCACAAGTAGGTTTACAGAACTAAACCTTACACATTTACAGTACAGACTTACTCACTTGAAGAAGCAGTTTATGGGAGCTTACTCTCACTATCCAGTTTAGTGTCTGTTGTTTCACTAAGGCCTGATGGCAGCCTGCCATTTGCCTCTATCCTGTGGGTTGACATTATGTAGGTTTAGGTGGTGGAAATCCTCCCTTATGTTGTCCATCCATCTCTTCATTGCTCGAACTTGAGGGTTTTGGCCTTCCAGTTCCAGTGTGATGATCTTCCTAGGCCATTTCTCACTGTCCATTACTTGGACTAGTTGGAGGTGGATGTACCATCCTTATTCCCTAGGTCTCACTATGTCCTGAACGCTATTGACTCTAAGTCTGGTTCTGAACAAAATGTGGAGCATAAGGTATAAATTTCATTCTATAGCATCAGCATCTATTAATGTGTTATCCAAATGTGAGATGTGTTATACAACTGTGATGCTACAGGAGCAGCACAAGTCCCAGCTCAGACGTGGTCTCCAGGGTCTGCCCACTCCTAAGAACGACTTTGAGATTGTGATGCCAGAGGAGATGCCACAGGACATGGGGATGGAGGTGGACCCACAGGCCAGCTTCAGACCTGACCAGGCAGACATTGACTCGGCAGAACAGGCCAGGGTCAACGCTGAGAGTGAGTCACCATACAGATAGAAATGCCCCCTTTCAAATTTCTTCAAAACTGCAGGGGTTTGTTTATTGTAGACTTGTGAGGTGAAAATATGCCCACTTGTGGTTTTATGTTGTACTTAAGAATTGTAGTAAACTGAATTACAGGAAAATAATGTAAATGATAGAAAAAGAACATATGTATAAGTTCCAAAAAAAGTACTTGACATGTGTATGCAATGTCTCAGTAAAGCTAAAAACAGTGCAGAAGTGATAATAGATCTTCCTTTTGTTGTCTAAAACATACAAGTGTTGCTTTGTTTAAGCTATTTTTCCTATCTCTTAATTTTGCGTGCTGCTTTCTGACTTCCCTACAGTCAGTACTGCAAATGTAGATAGGACTCTCAGTTAGAGCGTTTTGTACGTTGCGTTTACAGGGGAGCGTGAACTAAAGCGCCGCCATCATGCCGTACAGAGAGACCTGCCACGTCCCCAGGAACCCAACTCTTCCATCCTCCGACCCCTCGTCATGGACCCTCCTCTCACAGAACTACAGCTGGTAAAACACTTAACATTATCTCAATCAATGATCTTCAGAAACTACAGTTTTCATTCAGAGATTTTGCTGTCCTGAAGATAGTGTTTAAGGCAATAGGCTTTAAGTGTTCTGAAACATTGTGCACATACATTGTGAGGAAACTTTGTTGTTGCCAGGCAGTACTATGTTAACTATATTTAGAAATAGATACCTTTGAGTAGAAAGGCGAAGTAAAAAAAAAGACCTCTTTTGTGATCTAACTAACTCACCAGTTGTAGTGTTATATGTAGTATATGTAGTTCTGGGTTCATAGTCATGGCTCTTTCTTATCTTGAAATGTTGAAAGTTCATTTGTGTTGGTAGAAGTCATTATGAAGCAAGTTTAAACTGTGATGTCCAACACAAGATATTGGACCAAAAGTTTGACTAAAACTCCAGTCTTTATCAATGAATGAGCAATCCACTGTTCTGTGACTTCACGTTATGCAGAATATACAAGTAGTAGCAATCCATAATGTCGCAAAAGTGGTGGGTTGCTTGTTGAACATTTGACAGTTGAAAATTTGTCGGACTCCCTTGGCCAATTTTACTCTCTTTTTTGCTGAATTCTATGATCCGTATACCCGTAGAAAGGCCTGGTGCAGGCTACAATGGCTCTCTTTTTACTAGCAGGCACAGCTACAAACTGTTATTTTGTACCCCCAGGCTGAGGAGTTGATAAAGAGAGAGATGGTTACCATGCTACATCACGACGCCATCTACAACCCCTCAGAAGAACAGGCCGCCATGGCTGCAGGAGACAAGAAGAAAGGCGCCCAGTCAGCCGGAAACAAGATGGCTGAACACATCGCATACCTGGAGGAATACCCTTACAACAAAGTAGACGAAGACAGCATGAACTTAGTGAGTAACATGCAAGCTTACATGCTCCTATTTTGCACACATACAGTGATAATTTTGTTGTGTGTGTGAGAAAAATGAATGAACAAAGCTTTAACTTGCCCAGCCTGTTTGGTCTGATAAGACACCTTTTTCAAATAAAATGTACGTGGTACATAAACAAGAAAAAATTGTTACAGAGTGTGTGAGTGTGTGTACTGCAGTTTTGAAATGTTTTGCTAGATGGTGCTTACCAGCATAGGGAAAAAGTCTTCTATCTGTTTCTCCAGGCTAAAGAACTGTTGTCCCATGTGATCGAGGTAGTGAAGGTGTGGTTGCGTGTCTGTACTGCAGTTTCTATAGGTTTTGCCAGATGGCGCTTACCACCATAGGAATAAAGTCTTCTATCTGTTTCCCCAGGCTAAGGAACTGTTGTCCCATGAGATGGAGGTAGTGAAGGCAGGGATGGGCCATGGGGACCTGTCAGTGGAGGTGTTTAACCAGGTGTGGGAGGAGTGTTACAGCCAGGTGCTGTTCCTGGTCTCACAGAACCGCTACACACGAGCAAACCTTGCCAGCAAGAAGGACAGGCTGGAGAGTCAGGAGAAGAGACTCGAGGTAACGTTGGGTTTACTGTGGGCAACATTGGTTGGTTTTATTACTTTTTCTGTTTATGCATCCATATGTCCATCCATCCATTCACACATTCAAAGAATCAAACATCCATCGTTTCATCCACCCATCCTTCCACATATCCATTCACGCATTCATCCATCCATCCATTCTTTGATCCTTCCATCCAACAATCCATTCATGCCATCCATTCTTCCATTCACCCATCCATTTTCCATCCATTCTTTCATCCTTCCATCCATCCATTCATCCCATATCCATTCTTCCATCCATTCATTCACACATTCATTCTTTCACACAATCATCCATCCATACACCCATTCATCTATCTATTAAGTCCATTCTTCAATCCACCCATCCTTCTATCCATTCACTCATCCATAAACACTGTTCCACTGGTGTTTTTCAAGCACAATGTCTGTTTTGATGTCTTCTTTTCCTTATGATATGATTTTGTTTTAACTCAGATGAACCGACTTCAAATGACCAAAGAGGCCAAAAGAGCTGCCAAGATTGAGAAGAAACTGAAGATCCTTTTGGGAGGTTACCAGGTGAGTGAGATAGAAGTCTTTTCAAATTAGCTTGCAGATGATGAAACTGTTTGCTTGAATTGTAGTGATGTTTTGTTACTAATGTTGGAATGTAACATTCCTCTACTGGCGTTCCAGCACTTAAACTGGGAAATAACATCCTTGACTCACCTAGAGAAAAGGCTACAGCACTTAATGACTTTTTTGTCCAGCAGACCGACTTACCCGGCAGAGATGATCCTTCTTCTGCCTTTGTCCCACCCGTCTCTCCTGAAACACTCCTGGAGTCACTGCAGGTAACAGTGGACGAAGTCCGCCAGCAACTTCTCAGCCTTAAAGTTGGAAAGTCCTGCGGCCCAGACGACATTACTCCTAACCTCTTTG